TTCGGTTTCAATCATCGACACTCCGGGAATTCTTTCTGGTGAGAAACAAAGAGTCGACAGGGGGTATGATTTTGCGGGCGTTTTGGAATGGTTCGCTGAAAGAGTCGACAGAATCATTTTGTTATTCGATGCAAACAAACTAGACATTTCAGATGAATTTCGACGGGCGATTGAAGCTCTAAGAGGACACGATGACAAGATGAGAATTGTATTGAACAAGGCCGATGGAGTTGATCACCAATCGTTGCTGAGAGTGTACGGTGCTCTGATGTGGTCTCTGGGCAAAGTGCTGAATACTCCAGAAGTCGCCAGAGTGTACGTGGGATCTTTTTGGGACGAGCCTCTTCGATACGACATCAATAGAAGGTAGTCTAGTTTATTCAATTTATTTAGTTTTGCATATTTAGTTTTGCATATTTACTTTTGAAAGTTACATTCTCAGTAACCACTGATACTGATAGCTTATGATGCTTTCATATTTAGCTTCAGTTGTATCCCTGCCTGACCCAATTATTTCTTTTTTATATACGGCATCTTTAATTAGGATAATGCACAGCTATTTATCCTAATATTTGCTTATTAAAAGTTTATTCAGCAAAGAGTCAATTGAGGGTGAGGTACTAAAGAAATGTATTATTTGTAGATTATTCAGTTTTAAGAAGTTACATATAAGTTATGAAATATTTTGGTAAAGAGACCTTACAAAATCACATGTGATTTTTTAGGCTCTTTGAAGATGAAGAACAAGATTTGATGAAAGATATTCAGTCCCTCCCGAGGAATTCAGCCCTAAGAAAGATTAATGACATCAGTAAAAGAGCAAGGTTGGCCAAAGTAAGGTTTGCTTATGTATATTCATATTAGGCCCTAGTGGTATTGTAATTCACTGGGTCTTAATTTACTGATCAATCACCATCCATTTGGTTTACCAGAACTTTTTTATGATCAGACTAACAGTCGAATGTCAAATGCCCCTTAGATGAACGAACTTATGCTCCTTATATCTTGCTTAGGTCGCAAGTTGGTGTGGTGGCGGTGGCCTGTATACTGTGAATTCTAAAGCTACCGCTACACATAGCGGGATGGGATAGGGACGGGACATTATATTATTTCCCGTGGAGTGCCTACACATAGCGGAAAAGGACACGGACATGAGGAATGATGCGCAAGCAGCTTCAACAAACCACCGACGCTTTGGTCGTTCCCGCGCTTAGCCGCCCCACCATTTATTGCCATTATTATCATGGAAAAACAATGTTCAACCTGTTCTCCGTCTGAGTCCAACAAAGAGTTTTTATCAATGTGCTTGTTTGATGAAGAAAACAAGAGAAAGGAAGAACATAGCAGAACAAGGAAGACTCGTCCAATAAATGAAAAAAGAGAGGTTGTTTAATTTTGTAATTTCTTGTTTGATAATCCAAGCAAAGATGCAAAGACTGACTCACGGTTAATTGAACAAAAATGAATTAACAAGGATCGTATTGTTAATCGGAACCACACGATGAGAGCCGAAGATAGCCGACGACTCACAAAATCTACCGCACTTTCATCCCATGTCCCGTCCCTATCCCATCCCTGTATGTATAGCCGCTTCCATTTTGTTACACAGGAAGCATCCATCAGCAAATGGCCCGTTCATATCCCATACCGCTATGTGTAGACGTAGCTTAATACAGTACTGTATTAGAACAGCATTGGAATACTTTAATAATGGCTAGAATAATACTTCCTGGATGAAGTACTGAGCACTCAGACCATGGTTATTTTGGCAAAAATCTAAGAATCATAATCTTTAACATTTAAATAGCATTTCAGATATGGTACCTCTCTTTCGGAAAGATAAAAATATCGGCATAAATAGGTACATATATGTAGGTACCTATTTAAACAGTTGACAAATTTTTGTGTGACAGTTGACAAATCAGTGATCAGCTGAGCCGCTCAGTGCTGCAGTGCAGTATGAAGCTGTTTACCACTCTCCACATGTCAGAACAAATTGAAATTAGTGTTTTGGGGTGCTTATATTAAAGCTATCCTATTTAGATCTGTTTTAAATAACCTTACTAAAATCCATAATACTATAAAAAAAACTAGTAAATAAAATGTATAGGTCTAAACAGGTAATTTTCCTAGCTTTTATGGCAGCCTTTTTAATTCCCTGTTCTGATTTATTTAGTACTCTTTTACTTTTCAAGGTTCATGCACACATAATTGATGCCATCTACAATAAAATGCCCAGATTTTTTGGGAGAGAACAGGAAAAAAGCAATGTCATCAGAGACTTGGAGAGTATCTATACAGAAATAGAGAAGCAGCACCAAATACCATTAGGCGATTTTCCTGAACTCGAGAAAATGCAGGTTTGTATCATATTCTTGCGTTTTTACTGATTTAAAATTTGACACACTCGAATGATGCCTCCTAAGAATTTTTGAAAATCTCAAAAGTAAAAGTGAAGTATTTCCGTTTGGCCCTTTTAAAATATAAATTTAGTTAGCTACCATTGTTTTGCCAATCCAATAAATAAGTTAAAGACAGAACGTTGAGTCCCACAAGATAGATATATTGTCAACTGTAGCTCAGCGACAGCATAATTAGGACTAGGTAACGATGTTTTTTCTTTCGTTCTCTTACTTCACCTCCCGAAAACTCTAATGATTGAGAACAAAAAAGTCTTTTATGACCAGATCTCAACAATAAAATGGTTCTGGGCAGTTGAAATTGCTTGAAAAATAAAGTGTCTTTTGTCTAATTTAACCTCAAAATGCTTCTGAGACCCTGGGTAGTTTTGGTACTGCTGACTTGTGGTATTAAGATTTGACATCATCATCCCGGTTGTTGGTACAGGAGCTGTTGTCACACCAGGACTTTGACAAGTTCCGTCCCTTGGACCCCCAGATGCTACAGAGAGTAGAGCAGATGTTGGCCAAGGACATCGCAGACATCATGACACTCGTGCCGCAGGAGGCTGCCACAGGGGTTGACATTGCAGGTATGTTTGTGGTTCAATAATCAATAATAAACTATTTGCCTCTTGCTATAACCACTCAACTTAATATTGTATAAAGAAAGATGATTTGCAACTGTATAGAGTACCCTGTCACTAGCACTGCGTCGCTAGCGCGACCGTTCACGTTGTAAGAACCGGCTAATGAGGAGTCCCCAACGGCATTAGCGTCCGTATGAAAAGCTCCATAAAAACCCCATTGCCAGGTTGGAGTGACATCAATGTGAAGGCATCAAGGCGGCCTCAATAGCGCTCGTATGATATATAGGTCTCTAAGTAAAAAAAATTATTTTAAAGTATTGTTTGTAGAACATATATTTTTAAGAAATTTACATTGCAAATGAAAGTGAATGAGTGATAAGCCCAAAGAATGGCTGTACCTTTGCTATGTACATTCTTGTCATACCTTCGAAATTGATAATAATACCAAGTGGGAAAACATTTAGCTTAAACAGCCAACACCCTGAAGTTAATTCTTTTAAATGTGCTGCAATTACATGTTTACCCTAGAATAATTTTCATACTTGCAGAAATAAATTTTAAAATACTGCTGTAAAAAAAATAGGGGTCAAAGGTCAATTTTGCCTATCTAGGTCTGTTAGTTTTTTTATATCAATTTACTTGCTTTAGAATCACAATCATGATAATGGTTGCAGGTGGTGTGTTTGCTCGAGCCCAGGGCTCTCCCTTCGGCTACCACCTCGGAGAAGGTGCAAATGCTGGCAAGCACGACCAAGAATGGATAGTGAACACTCGTAAGCCGAAGTATGATGATATCTACAAGGGCCTGAACCCTGTCAATGGAAAAGTCATGCAGTCAGGTATGTGTGTTTCAACATTTGAAGGCTAAGCAATGTTTTACCTTATTTGTATTACATTATTTAGTGTACAGGATCGGTTCGTTTACTTTGATTAAAAATACAAACTTGCCATTAGCTTTGTCATGAGTGAATAAATATAGTTACAGATTTGTTGCCGTTGTTAATACCAAGACTAAACTGAAAAGCTACTATTAGTAGTGTTTACTTTGCCTCATAGTTATTTACTGAACAAATCTGGCAATCGCATTATGTATTTTTCTAAACCGTGACATCGTATGGGTCTCGTACTAATTGTGGCGCGTAATTCAGAAAAGCAATTAATTTTTCTGAACATTTTCCTGCATTATGCTTATGCGAGTATACATTTCACATTGTTTTGTTCAGCCGTGCGAGAAGAGATGATGAAGTCCAAATTGCCGAACTCAGTGCTGGGAAAGATATGGCGGTTGGCGGACACTGACGAAGATGGGTTGTTGGATGCTGATGAGTTTGCCCTTGCGATGTACCTGATTGACCTTCGGCTGGATGGTCATGACCTTCCCATGAACCTACCTGACCACCTCGTGCCTCCGTCGAAACGCAGCAAGCAGAGAGCAAGATCAGCGTGAATGATAAGTGCTGGTTCATTGTGCTTGTGAACAGTTAATTACAGTTGAAAACTGTAAATAAAGCTTTCAATCAACTGCTTAAAGCTGTTGGTTAATAAATGATACGGAAGAAATAATTGCATTTCTAATAAATAACTTGTGTATTTTCATTTTAGGCATCAAAATTGTGTACAGTATTGTTTTGCAGATAAAAGTTTATTAGTGTTAAATTTGACTAGATTGTCTCTAAAATGTGATTTTGAAATTGTTGAAAACGTTAATCGTGTATATAGATATGCAAATAGAATGAACATAATTTATTGGTCATTGTTGTTCTTTTTGCGTTCCGTTTCCTCTTTGTAGATAAAACTTGCAACATGTTGAATCTCCAAAACTGTCTCTCATGGGTTTATATGAGGAAATATCCCTCCCTTCCGCAAAAATATAAGATTCATTAGCAAAACCTCTTAAAATGTATAATATATATCTTAATGTGTTAAATGCATAGTTATGAACCAGATAATGGAAGAGGAAGATTTTATAGATTTACATAAAATATACAAGTAAACAACTCAATCAACTTTATTAATAAATACTCAAATCAAACTGACTTAAAACTATGTTGTATGTTAACTCTGCCGTTATAGTCTGAATCAGAAGTCCACGACCTACGGATATACACCCTCCGAGGACTATTTCTGGGTGATTTTTCTGCATTGTCTCTAAAAGTAAATCAACTTCCTTCGTAATACTCACATCATGAAAGGAGGACTTCCCAGAGAGGACCGTGCAGATGAACTTTTGACCAATTTCTTGACACGCGTAATGTGCTGCTTCACAAATGGACACAACAGTTACCACAGTCCAGATTTGTGGAAGAATCACATCAATAAGAATACTTGTGTCTTTGGAGGCGAGAATCACTGTTAGCAATGTGTAAGTGTTGAAAATCAGTGCTATGTGGTTGATGAATATGTGAATCATGAACGGCAGTCGCATAGCTTCAGCAAACTGATTCACTTGATCGCGCAGTTCGACCCATAAGAGTCTGTGGGCATTGACCAGCTCCCGGTCGGGCTTTGTTAGTAACAAATTGACAAGGCTGTTTCTTAAATTTGATGCCATACCTGCGATGAATATACAGTTGAGTATCCAGAATATGCTTAGAAGAAGATTCATGTACGTTGAAAAAAAATATGTTAGAACAAGTATGGGACAAAACCTATTGTAAAATAGATATTGGTCAGTTGTGATTATCAGGATCAACAGTACAGTAAAGACTGCAGTGATCCACTTTACTCTTTGTGGAGTGAGTGAAAGTTTGGGAACTCCAGCGACAGATGACATTTTTTCTTCAAAATCTAACCACTTGTTGACGTATCTAATTATCTTGGGCATTTCCCACCATATTAAAAAGAAAAAGATAGTTGTGTTTGTGTTTATAAGCCGCAATGTAAAGTAGAGAACTCTTACGTATGACTTGAAATTGTCTTCCGTGTTAAACTCCTTCTGATTACCCCAGGTCATCACAACTGATTGAACTGCGAAGGAAAATATTGCCCAAAACACAGCTTTGAACGACACATTGATTTTGCTTGTCATGTAGTCCGTGCCGTACGGCATATATCCCATAATGCGAAACAGCTTGAAGAGTACTTCCAAACTTTCCCAAAAACAGCTGTAACGTTTGGTTACTTTTTTCTGGCTTTGAAGCTCTCTGACATACAAAACTAGTTCATTAGGAGTCATCTGAAAAAAGAAAAAACAATGTTGGTATAGAATTTTATTTAAAAATTAGGATTCACTACAAAACCTAATTTCTTTAAGTGATTAGTGCTTAATAATTTTGGTATGCCTGAATTAAACTTACTGCGGCAAAAATAAGAATAGTCACATTTACACAGAAGTTTCCAAGAAAACGTTTATAACTTTATAACGTTATCAACTTTGGCAACTCTATAATGTAAACATTAAGTTTAACATCACTGTGATTGAACATATGTTTTCAGACTAGTTGTGGAACATTTTCTGTATCGACTAAAAACTATCGTTATTTTCGATACCTTAAAGCTTTTGCTTAAAACACTTGATGCCAACTATTTCTTTTTTACAAAAAAAGTCACCATTACTTCCTTTTTCATTGAAATGCTTGTTAGAAATTCATGATAGTGATATAAAAGTGGTTGATTAGCATAAAAGGTTTATTGAATTGATTGGTAGCTATATGATTATCAAATCAACCAAACAAATGCTCAAACAAATTTTGACCTGCACACATGCTCAATTATCTTTTTGTTAATCAAAAAACTATCATTGACCATTTAAAAAGCCATTTTCTTCTGATGCTGATCAAACTTCAACCTATTACCACCTGACATTATTTGTTTAGGATTTGATGTAATACTCTGCTTCCATTTCTAAATCCTGACAGCTAATAGGTCGGTAATATGATATAGCCTGAATTGTGGTAAAATTATTAATTATGAGAATAATATTAATACCTTTCTAATAATTATTGTGCATAAAAACATTACATTACTTTATTACTATGAGCAAAATATAAATATGTTGGCCCTTCTAGATAAACAAGTTAATGACAGTATTACCTGCAAAAAAAAATGACTTCTTTATAACTTCTAAAATATTTTTTTTATTTTCTCCTCTCACCAACAAACGTTAGGTTGGTTTCACCACACTGGCATGGTACACGAACATTTGTATCTCAATGCTTGTAACGATGTCTCTGGGAATAAAGTTATTAAAGTGAATTATGTTTGCAATTACCTTTTACTGTAGTTTGCTGACCAATTGACACTGACAGAAATCAATAAAAGCTCCCAATACCTATTTTAGCGTCTAGACGGGTGGATATAAAAATTAAATCCTTTAATAAAGCTGGGTAAACTGTTTGGCTCTTAGTATGTTTTTCATTTGTTTGACAAATCTAAAAATATTTGTGTTAAATAAATAACCCATGATAAAAATAATTACATTATTTTCGTAGGGACAATTTTTAACGGTAAAAAAATTGTTTTCTGGGCCTTGTTGAACTGACACTGCTTAACTGAATGTTATGTGAGTGTCATAGCATTAATTAATTCAGGTTGTTAAAGTTTAATTACTTAAATGTGCACTGAATTTTATTAGAGCTTCACCAAGAAAATAAATAAGGAATTATAAGTGGAACTTGTGTTTCGAGGAGTCAAAATCAAACACACTATCATGGTAACAAGGATAAGGACTGATTTGGAAACGATTTGGGCAGATACAAATAATGATCAATGACAAAGAATAACAATACGCTTCAATCGGTCTATTACAGTGTACGTACATGTGTAACAGCTGCAACAATCACCATAGCAGCAGGTCCGGGGAGTCAGTGGTTGAACTCAGCATGCTAGGCGACTTGCAGCTCTAAAATGTTATGGACATTGGCCACTTGTGTATAAGAACAACTAGATTCAATATTAAACACAAACCTGGTTGTTCATACAAAAATGGCCTCTCGGTTGAGAGGCGCTAGGTACCTGAAACATAATAAATTAATATGTTCTACACAATACATATACACAAGGGTTGTATATTTTAAAATATGTAAGTACTGATTTTGTCAGGGTAACTAATAAAAAAATTGTTTAATATTAGTTTCTCACTTTTTTTCTAATAACATATAATTCTCCCTTACTTACTAACAAAATTCTTATCAGTTTGAATTACTTTGTCTAAGAAGGTGCAAAACCAGAACTTAAAAAATATTATTTTCAACATTCCCAGTTTAGGGACCAAGCAATAAACTCGGAACGTTTTTTTAAAGAAAAAGAGGATTTTGCCAAAAGTTATTTTATCATTTATTATTCTTGGAAAACACAATGGTATATTATAAAATATCCTGAATTAGTACACAAGGCGGCCATTAATGTATACATCGTTAGATTGGTCCTCCCCATTACGGCCATAGGGGCTGGAGAATTGTCATATACTTACTTGTAATACTTTATTTCTTCATCCTTGACCAACAAAAGTTGGATGGATTGTGTCATGATACACTAATAAATACTTATACTAATAAATCACTTTAAAACATAATATGTACAATTTTATACTAATTTACAAATGAGACTCGGATTTTAGGGAATTTGCATCATCATCATTAGTCAAAAAGACTGGAGAGTCGTCAAGTAATTTATATAAAGCTTCTATTCGTGGTTTTGATAGATAGTTGAGTTATAGACCCCATGTTACGCTTATTTGTTTATCTAATTTGGAAGCATTACTGCCCAACTAATCACTAAAGATTACTCATATCCTACGTGATACTACCTCATAACTACTTCTTGGTGATGGTCTCCAACAGAATCTCCTTCATAATTGCCAGTCCTTCTGCGTTCAGATTGATGTCGTCCGTTCCTGTGTTCTGCCCATCTCCGATGTTACTATAAAAAATCCGATGTTACTGTCTGAATGGGACACAAATATTGTGCTTTGGCCAACCGCATTTCTACGGGGCCATGCTCTTTCCCGAAAGTTCAAGAAAATCATATTCATCCAAACATTTGGCAAACAATAACATTTTGTTTTGGTAGACAATAACTCTGCAAATCTGCTAAATGTATACCTACAATTACTATTTTATTCAAATACGTATTGGGGCTATACACGGGAAACTCAAAACGCCATGCAGTGCCCTCCAAGAAACCATCCTTGATCTGACTCAGGATTAGAAAGTAAATGAACCATTATTTTGACCAGTCTGAACACACATATGAATAGTCGGTAAATGATTTAGAAATTAGCTCACCTTTCGTAGCAGTCACGGGTGAACGCCCCTCGCAAGTCGACAAAAGTGATGGTATCTAAAAAATGCAGGTGCTTAAGTATGAATTTCAATTAACTTTCGTTAACATATATCAATTAATCAATTAATCAATCAATTATATAACCTTGCGGACTATGTAGAGCAAAACTCACAAAACCCAATATTGTACATCAACTAACATGCATCAAAATCTATAGGAAGAAAACTTGCTTCTATATTGCAAACTCTATTAGACTCACCTAAACTTTAGATTGTTGAGTGACGTGTAAAGCAAAAATACACAAAGGGCTTCTTTTACTAGAATAAAGTTTAGTTAGGTTTCTGTAATAATTGTAAATGAAAACTTACCCTCTTTCTCCCCAAAGGACATGATGTAATCATTGACCCACGGGAGGATGTTGAGGTAGCGGTATCTCGTCTCTTGGTTGAGAGCCTCCTCCAACAGTGGGATCTCCGGCACGGTGCAGAAATACACGTGTTTGTAGCGCTTCCATGCCTTCACCTTCACCTTTCTCAAGGAAAACTTCAAGGGCTGCTTGGCTGGACTCTACAAACACACAGATGTGTTATACTCCTTACAAACTAATAGTTAGAAAACATACTAAATGAAACACATTCTGTTACAACAGCTTCACTACAAATCAAAATCTTTATATTGACACAGAGGTAGTAGTGCAGCATGTTGTGTTAATTTATCACAAAATTAGGTGATGAATGACATTTTTATATATTTGTTGTTAAGTTAATTGTTATCGCAGATTTTAGAACCAAATTTCACCCTAGTGAGCAATATGATAAGTACCAATTAAAACAAATTCAAAAGTATATCACCTGCAAAAAATTATATCACAGTTTTTGTCACAATTTGTCTATGCTGCTACTGATAGTATTCCTAGCAAGTCATTTGACATTCTTATGGTTGAGTGGAACATAAAATGTGTTGCATTTAGATTCTTACAAACATTAAGCCATATCATTAATAATTAATTTTTCAAATACAACTCAAGTGTACCTATGTAATAATTTGTAATAATAATCTACACACTCATACCATAGCGTCAGTGACAAAGACACACATAAGAATATGTAGCTTTGAGAATTGAACAATAATGCATAATTACTTACAAGTCTTTCCTCAGAAGCACAGATCTGCAAAATATCATTTGTGCCGATCATGATGATAGCCGAGTCGTTACAGGAGTTCCTGATCCAGGGCTTCACCAACAGGTCTTTAGCCGTCTGGCCATCTCTGCACATCCCCCAAGATGAGGGGTAACCTGTAACCAAATCCCACCATACATTCAAGAGTTGGCTTGAACAAAAAATCAAAATGGATGGGTCTGCACATTGGGGTCTACATTAACTAAATATATAAATAAATTTCATAAATGAACAAATGATTACTGTGTTCCGTCAGAATCATGAATTCTGAATTATAATGTAAAGTATGGTGCACATACAAATTCTTCGCTATGTTAGTCAAGTATAAATATAAGATATTAAACACTTACCCTCATAGTGTGGTATTGAATCTGCGTATTGAAGACTAAACCTCAGCATGATAGAGTCGCCCATCAGATCCGCCCCTGAAAACTTAGGAATAGCCATGGTCAAGTATAATAATCAAGCAGAAAATTAAACAACACAAAATAAACCTAAAAAGTACAAGTATTCAGTAAGCAACAAATTCAAAAAGTAATTTACTAAATTGTAAAATTAAATTCGCAACAATAAAAAGCACAACTACGAAATAATGAAAATATGCTACAGGTACTAAATCTTTATCAAATTAAATCCGAGAGCTTAAGATAAGAGCACGAAAACACAGTCAAACTCTGTTAGCTGTGAACAGAACAGAGGAATCAACTGAACTGAACTGACTTCCCTGCAGTCATGTCAGCCCTTAAGTACGACGCAGGAGGTGGTGGGGGTAGGGAGGTAACGTCACCCGTGACGTAATGTTATGATCAACAAATGAGATTGATCTCCCCCTCTACTACAATAGCTAGCCCTGCGCGTGCGTACTAAATCTTTCTTCTAATTAATGTAACATGCACATTGTGCATTGTATATTAAAATTATTCTAATTTATTTATTGGCAAAACCCCCTTTATACAGAAAAAAAATTAAATTAAGACTGTTAAGAATAAATTTGAATTAAACAATTTTAATTTAGAGAAATTAGAAAAAAACCATTGACAAACTATTCTTCTAAAGTCACAAGAAACTATAGAAATCCAAAATGTTTCTAATTACAATACTGGAAATAACATTGTTACAAAAAGACCTATCTATAGTTTATACATTTTAAAACATACGCTTAGAAAAGCAAATTAGAAAAGATATCAATACACGATATGTTTAAATTAACATAATTATCACGATTTTTTCGTTTTCTTTGAAATATAAATATCAAAATAAATATAAGAGAAATATAACAATATATAATGGAAAGACAAAATGTTCTTAAGATTAAAATATCGCCTCATTTTGTCAAACCAATGAGGATTGTTGATGGCTGATGGGAAGCATTTGCTTCAGTGTAGTGGATTTTTCAACTCAACCATGATTTACCCATTTAGTGTTAGTTGGTCCATTTTAGATACACATGATTAGTTTGTTGTTAAATAAGGAAGTCAGTGAGTCAAGTTTTAATAATATTAATGTATTTTGGAATAAAGGATTTATGACACATAAACTATATAAACATAGGAACCGAGGAAACCTATTAAGAAGACTAGGACATGATTTTTAATCTTTTGTAATTATGTTGTTAATATTTTCTTTTTAATGATACTGGGTGTTGCAATTCTTGTCCAGTCAACTATGTGTGGAATATAGTTTAAATAGGCTAATAATAATTGTTTACTACTTAAACGGACTTAGATTAATCGCTATAGTTGTTTTGTTGATATACGTTTTTATTTACAGTGTTACAATGTGCGGCAATATGTGCGTCAATACCTAATTAATTGTAATAATTGCTATTCGGCAGTACTAGGCCCTACATATCTTTGAATCATACAAAATTATTAATTATCCTACAAAGCATTATTGTTTTAGCTTTCATGTAGAACTAGCATTTTGGAAACCACTCCACTACATAAATGTTGATGATAACATAATTATAGTAAAATATGAGTATTTCGCTGTAAAATTATGTCAACTAACATGTAGTTAAGATTGGACTTTTTTGTTTTTTAATAATGACAATGCTTATACCGAATGGCTAATGGCTATAATAAAATGATTTTTTATTTATGTTTGAAGTACTCCCGCTGTTTTAATGTTTGTTGACAATAGTAAAAGCTTGTATACTAAAATAATAATTGTTTGTTCTTTTATGGTGGAGCCATATTTATTTGATCCTTAAAATGTTGTAATTTATTTAGAACAATAAAACAGTGATTTAACACAAAAACATAGTTTTGAACCATTATTGATACTGTACTCTCGATGTGATGTGTGTTTTCAATAACAATGTTATGACACATAGCATTTGAATACGCTCTCACATACCACCTCGCGCTGGGATGTTGGAACTCGCTATGACGACTAAAGAATGTTTCCCACATTTTCAGGCGCATAACTTAGTGAATTTGAGGTATTGTGTCGTAACACGTGTTTGTTAACATTTTTTGATTTGGTCAATACTTTAGGTTAACTTTTTTCGACTTAAAATCATTAAGTAAAACCCAACTTTATAATATAATTCAAAAATAAGTTACTAATAAAATATAGAACTATTTCTTAATTTCAGAAAACTGCTGCTAATACGTACCAACATGTTCAAATCTTGGTATTTGGGATACGCGTATTTTGAATACGCAATTTTTTTGAATACGACAATACGCGTATTGTAAATGGGATACGCGTCGATTGGTGAAATTTTGAAGTCAATAATGCGTGAAGTTCAAGAAGCGTTGCTGCTGCAAAACAAACTTCGAAGCAAACTAACGCAGGGATGTTGACCTTGCTAAATAGTAACGTTAAGAATGTTCACTTAAGAATATGGGCACATTTGCTAGAAAATTCTTGGTAAAAATTAAAACAGTATAACAAATAATATGCTGGAATGCGTGTTTTGTTAACATTTTCTATCTGGTCAATACTTCAAGATCATCTTTGAGTTTCAAAATAATTAGTAATACTACAACTCAAATGCAATTTAGTTATCAAAGTTAAGATACATAGATACATAAGAGAATACACACGGTTATAAGCTAGTTTTTACAATTTTAGAAAACCACTATCTGTACACTCATTATAGTATCACTACAAAGTCCACGTTTCGATTACGATTTTGTAATTGATGTTTTTTCTATTCTCTCGTCGCGTCGTCTGTTGACTGTTGTTTTTTAATGTCAATGTCAGTATGTCAGTCAATGTGTTGTCTTTGACTTTCCTCCAGTCTTTTGTTGTGTTATTATTTTTATGTGATGGGTACTGATTCTAAAAACTAAAATAAAGATTAAAATGAGGGCTCGAAACACAAATTAGCATAAATCATATATTTTTTAAGTCTCATATGTCTTAACGCAATGAATAGGTCTAATTTGTTTTCCCTCAAAATAACACATTCATGCTATTCTTAAGTTATAAGAGGTTATGTGAAGCCGTAGACTAGGACTAGACTAAACTAAGTAGATCACGTTCATTCACAGGTAAAGCTATAATTACAATAATTTATTAAAATTTGAGTAAGCTTAATAAGCTTTAAAATAGCGTTAGTCGGATCATAACTTAAGCCTATATCATAAGAAGTGTTACATTTTTTATACCCTATTCTGACAAACAGCATTGCAAGCATTTGCAAATAATTAGGCCTATATTGGAATACCAATACAAGGGGCATAATTTATTAACAAGGCTTAACTTAGTACGGTGCAGATTATAATTTTGATTTGATAGATTGCTACATAAGTTATAACCTTACTTAATGTCAATAAACCCAACTGCAGGAATATATTAAGAATATATTAATAAAGGCTTATTTTTAAAATCTAGATCATTGTAACGTTTATCAATCGGAAATAAATATTAAAAAGTATCCTAAGCTAGTACTTTTAGTGCTGTATAATTAGATAAAAGTCTTGTTAGGCATATGTCAACTAAGTTACCGCAACAAACTTGCCTCATGTTTGCTGTCATAACTTAAGCACTCTTGTGCATTTTTAAGTTTACCCTTAAATAGATTCAAATCCTCATTCTTGATATTTAGGTATATTTTTTAATTACAGCCTTTAAATACCAACACTTTTTATATTCATTGATCATTTGATTTTAGGTTGAAGGAACTAAACTAATCATGGTGTTTTCCAAGGAAGTCGCTTGCAACCGATTAGTCAATTTAAAGCTCTCAAGAGTACTAGTACTTGTAACTTTAGCACTGGTTCTAGTACCTCTATTTACCCATTACTACTTGTCAAATGTAAGTATCAATGCTTTGAATCTATTAAGCCTAAGTTATTAGACCATACTTAAGTCCCTACTCTTATTTACCATTGGAAAAAACAAACTAGAGGTTAATGTAATTGGTACAACATGGAATGTACAAAATACAGTACTTCAGCTCTTTTCTAACTCTAGTAAGTTAGGCTGCCTAAAGGTTTGTTCTTGGACATTACTTTAAAATATTTAAATAGGCCTACCTGCTAGGCAATCCGGTCATATTGCAAATGCAACTAAGTTTAAGTTTAAGTAAGTTAGAGTCGGCTCCTAACTTGTGGAGCCGAGACTTGACTTCTTGACTTTGACTGTGCTTTCTAATGTGTAGGCCTAAATAAGGTAGGCCTACCTTACCTTTCTTCTGTATTTCCAAACTTTATAATTTATAATTCTTTGAATCTCAAGGTTGAGAGTGATGTTTCATTGGGTGATATCCATCGAACCCGATCTAAATTGGAAGCCTATGAAGAATTTGGAATGTTCCGAGGAGCTGATTTGAAGACAAGAATTGAAGAAATGCTTAGAATTAAAGGTTAGTCACAACATTGTACAGGTATACCTGGTTTATTGTTCTGGCGGTAAATATTTGTTAAAATTATTGTATCATGAAAAGGTTGAATGAATTAGTGCGGTATATTGATAGTTTGATAGTTAACAAAATGAAACACACAACAACAAACAACAACAAAAAATATCAAAATAATAAAATGATCTGTTCACTTGATTTTGAGTTATTATCAAGAATCTGTGGAATGTTCTCCAAAATGTTCAGGCCACATCAGGCCAACAGTTAGCCTAATAGATTGGTTCGAGCCGGAAATAGTTTTTGTGCCAAGCTTGGTTCAGGTGATTTATATAAAAGGTGTATGAATGGCTTGATTAGAGCCAAACTGAGCTTTAACTCAAGCAATATTATTTAACTCCCAAAAAGCGTTTGCAAAGATATATTTCACTGTATGGCAGAAGACAATTTTAAATATTTTTAAAACTGATTGTATTGTGACAGCTAATATGTTATTAAATTGATACTTTTCAAAGCAAACCGATATTGACCCGAAGGTCTAAATTTGTTATCCGACATAACCCAAAGTATAAAGTCTCACCCGCAGACTCCTAGTTACAATTTGAGTCTGTACGGTACAAGATGAACTATGTATACGGTGTTGCTTGTTGGATTCGTTGTTGTCTGTCTGTATCTAATGTTAGTAGTTTAATGTATGTATTAGACATTGGGGCTAACCTTAGCAACCACAGGTAGGCCCTAAACACCTTTAGCTTGGTGTGATAAGTTTTTCACAACGATTCCTATGCCTTGAGACTTACACACCATAAATTACATATTGTGTTGCAATCCGAAGCACTTTATGCTAATGATTACACAGTAGTAGCAATGAATTGAATCTAATGTTTTCAGGCTCGGTGAGCACTGAACTGCGCGACCTCGAAGCCAAGAGACAGAGACTGACAGCCGACATTTCGTCCCTTACACATAAGATTGAGTCGCTGAAACTAGATTTATTAAGGCAACAAACAGAACTGGAGAGACTCAAACTATCCGTTGAACAGGTTAGCTACCTGACAAATATATTTTGTTGTATTTTTAACAGAGGTTTTCAAATTTGTGCTAATTATCTGGGTGCCTTTAAAAACAAGTTTTATACAGTCACATGTCTTTTTTGAACTGAAACCCATATGAAAAATGCTACAAGCTATCAGTTAGTTGATTACACAGGGCACAAGTTGTGATGGATTAAACTACAGTAGAACCCCACTAATCCAATGTAGGCTAGTCCGACTCCCTGCTTAATCCGACTGTGCCTTCGCCTATCAGTGACGACAATGTTATCGTTGGTAATATTGTGACTACTTCCTATGGTCGTGTAGAGATCATCATCGCCTCTCGCAATAGCAGCAAAAATATTCTTTATTCCTCACAATCACAAAAACATTATCTTGGTTTTCTGCAATCATAGAAACATTTATTGTCATCCTCCGTAATCGTGGCTAAATATTTAACACGTCTCCTGCAGTCACTGATACATCGTTAGCTTCTCCCGCGATCGTGGCTAAGTATTTCGGACATCATAATTTTCTTCCGTATATGTCAGTTAAGCCATTAATGCAGTTAATTTAATATGCCACCAGTTAATATGCTCCCCGGGTTATCCGACGTTTTGACTGTTCTGACCATGGTCCCGGTCCCTTAGGTGACAGATTAGCAGAGTTGTACTGTACCGATAAGTCCACTTGTTCATTTTCCTGTATGCTATCCTATACATGTAAGTATGTGAAATAAGTTGACCTTTCAGTTTGCCTTGGTTAAAAAGTAGTCGTCGTCATAAATAAGCGTTCACATAAGCATTTCTTTTCATTTTTTATTTTGTGTGTTTTTACGCCAGTGGCATTTTTTACGTTTTGAAAGGTGGTCCAAACCGTGATCTTGTTACTATATAATGTCGACCTTTTTGTTAGATAGCGTTATTAATTCATAGGCCAATGACAAATGGCATCTGGGTCTGAAAACAATCTCTCATGGATTCGAACCAGCGACCTTCAGATTTGAAGGCGAGCACAATAACCACTCGGCTACCCAAACAATTATATATCAATTGTCTGGGTGGTTGTAGTGCTTCTTCACATAAGTGCACTCCCTCAGTAGCTCAATTCAATTACGTTTATTTTCAATTGAGCACTGGTTACAAAATAAACATGGGAATGTAAAGTCTAGTTCTTTACATACCGTAGTCAAAAAATCCTTATAACTTGTCAAGTATGAATGTTTTCATATCGTTTGTGACAGGCGCAAGTGGCTCATCGGGAGGCTCTGCAGCGCAACACGCCAGAGTTGTCTCGGCCACTGCGGCTGGTAGCGGGGGGGCCGCCCCTCCCCCTCCCCCCGCCATCACCCCTCTCCCCTCCCTGCAGTATGTGGCAGTGCTTCGATCAGTCACGCTGCGCCCTCACCTCCGGTCTGCCAGTCTACCTGTACGACACAGAACTGTTCCCGGCCACCAGCTACTTGCGCACAGGTATTACCACGAGTCAATGGTTGTTATGACCTAGCCTATCGTACAATCTGTATCTAAAGGCTAAATAAAATTATTTATGATTTATGACCACGAGTTGCTGATTTCAAACAATTTGTTTTATTTAATTCATTACTCTTGGAAGCTATCTTTTTGCACTATAATTGTATGGAATTATAACATTGTAATTTCTTGAAATATTAAGTTATTTGTTTACAAATCACTTTATACTACAGTAGAACCTCAATAGTTCGACTTTTAGTGGACTTAAGGGGTGTCGAACTATTGAAATGTCGAACTATAGGGAGTAAATGGAGTTTAATATACAGGAATGTAAACCACAAGTTTTAGGCCTATGTAGAAATCAAATTTATTAAATGGTAAACAGCTTAACAATTATTTCACTGGCCATTGGTCTCAAGTCAACAATAAATGACAAATCAATGTTCAAGTCAGCTTACATCACAATAGTAACCATTAAATATCACTTGACAAAATAGCTCAGCCTGTGTCGAACAATCAAGTGTCGAACTATTGAAGGTTTACTGTATTTCAATTCATTATGTAGCATATAGGGATGTTATGTTTTTGTTTATCTTATTATAGCAACATTTTTTTGTTTTGTCGTAATAGACACCCATTATGAGGCAATATATTATTTAACATACTGATTCTATTTAAATTACAATAATTAAATAACTTATATATTTTGTATTGTTCTATTCCCTCACAGGTGTGAGACAGACTGTGGGTTTCAACCCCCACTACACCTCAGATCCCCACGAGGCTTGTGTGTATCTAGTCCTAGTGGGGGAGGGGGAGGCACATGATCTAACTAGCCTCAGAGATCTCCCCTATTGGGGCGGCGACGGTGAGTTTCAGTTTTACGTTTATTTTTAATTTGAAACTATTTTCACCAAAGGAGTTTACCAGGTACTCTAGACAATTCAGAACGTTCATACACCAGATTACTGGTGTATCTGGCATCTCTAAGATTTCCAATATTGCAAGGATAGAATAAACAAAACAATTTCAAGTTTTAGGCCGTTTATCTCTGCCACACATGTCTATTCCTCCTATTCGCTCTTGGTTTCATTGTTGGTTTGTCTTCTAGTACAACTTGTATGTTACGTTTTGTAAAATCTGTAACTTTTTCATCTATGCGTTTAATTTTTTTTTGCTTTAATTTTTGTATGATTAATCCACATCAAAAGTTCTCTATGATTGTTTGGTAAACTTCAATCTACTGGTTGATTTGCTCAGGGAGGAACCACGTCTTACTTTACCTGTCCCGGGGCAACTTGTCGCCCCCCACCCTCACTCCTGAGTTGACGGGCCGAGCCATCATCGCCCAGTCTACCTTCGCCCGCCACCTGTTCCGGGAGGGGTTTGATCTGGTGCTGCCCCCCGTGCTAGGACCCCCTGGGGGTGACGTGTGGGCAGAGTGCGCTCCTCAGCTACCTGCAAGGCGCAAATACCTACTGACCTTCCAGGGGCATCCTCCCTCCACTCACATTGTCTCTCAAGGATTTAACGGTGAGTCAGCTTAGTTCAGTTTTATATGTTATCAATTGATTCTATTTCTCTCTCAATCATTTGACATTGCTATGTGCTCAAAGACTACATTGAAACTTTTATGACCTCTATGTCCTCAAAGATGACATTGAAACTTGTATCACCTCTATGTGCTCAAAGAGGGTGTTAAAACTTTTATGACCTCTATGTGCTCAAAGAGGACACCAAAACTTGTATGACCTGTGCATTAAATAGCTGGGTAGCTAAGTGGATATAGTGTTAGTTTAGTTGTCAGTTCAACCTGACTAAAGTTTGTGACTTTTTGATGGTTCAAAACTTAGTTAGGGTGTGATCATTCGGCTTTTAATGAAAATCAGCTGATTGTAGTTAAAAACATCATCTTTTTCACTCATCTTGGCATTAAAAAAGAGCACCCTGACATTGTAGAAATGTAATCTAACCAATTTGAAAATAATTGAAACATTAGTTGAAAAACATTGAAAAATGGACTCCTTGAACGTGCGTTTTATGAAATAAAAGAATTTTATAACCATCCCTTGAGTTAATTTTTTGTTTTTAATTTTCTTAACATTATTTGGCTAGTTAATTTTTCCTGTTACTTTGTACTTTGTATTTTTCTAGTCTAGGCTCAATTTTGACAATGCACCTGTTCTATATGTTATCACATCTAAAAGAATGTTATGTGCAAATAAATAATGTCTAATGTCTAATGTCAAATAATCCCTTTGGTTGCACAGTGACGGAGCTGCACAAGTACTTGTCACAGTCAACGTCAGACGTGTTCCGACTGGACTGGTCGTGCAGCAACTCTGCAGCCCTGGTCTCCACGGAGGACGACTGGGACTTGTGTGGTACTGAGACATCCCGCGCCGCTCTACTGAGGGAGTCTACGTTCACACTGGTGCCTGCACCGCGCAACACCAGCTATGTGTCGTCTGCGCTCAGTCTCGCCCGGCTGTATGAGGCCCTACGCGCCGGTGCGATCCCAGTCATAGTCGGGGGCGACAGAATGGTACTGCCTTACAGTGAGGTCAGTGTTTTTTTTTGTTTTATTTTAGACAAGATCTAGAGCAATAGTAGAAATTGTGGAGTTAATGGGTGTACTACATTACTTAGCCTATATAGTTTTCTATGGAAATCGGAAAATTATCCTTAAAACTGCTGCTTTTTAAATTATGGTCTACAGATTAGTAAAGGAATGAATTTATTACAGTATATCCTTTTTAGACCTATTTATCTAGGCAATAAAGATTTTAGTACCACACCATTTACTAGATTCAATCATATTAGATTGTCTCTAATAAATTGATGTAATTTATTTATCACGATAGTGTAGGTTTATTAGTTCTCAGAGCAAGAAAGAAACTAGATACATTTTAAAACCTCTCTTCAATCTTAAAATGGGACCGAAAGACCAAAATAAGAGATTGTTGAATACTGGTACCATTACAAAAAACATGCATTAACTTCTATGCAAGAACAATAAATTATTTATTTTACAAATGGCTTTAGCTCTCAACTATTTTCCAAGCAGATTATTTCTATTATGTGTTGTTCTATTATTTGTTTCAGATGTAACTGGATCAATTATAATTAGGCTAACAATGACTGTACTAAGCAAAAAGTGAGTTAGATAAGAGCGGTTGGATTGTGTGGGTGGAATATTTTTAGTACAGGCTACAATAATTTGCTTAAATGGTTGAATTTTGTTTTCTGGGGGATTTGAGGTTTCCAAAAGCTGTTTAGTTTTGGCTTAGCATACTACAGCTGACAAATGCAGCAGTATAATTTCAATGCTTTTGGATATACAATATGCTTATCATCATCATCATCAAATTGCATCTCATTCTCTATTCTCATAAATTAATTAGTTGTGCAATTGAATCAAAAGTCAAACTTAGTAGTTACTACGCTACTACACTGGCTCCAGACTTAACTGTGTTATATACTTGTAGCAAAAAGACTTAAGCTGCAGAGTCTATACAATTGATAAAAGTTCTGTATTTTTTTCAAAAAATTTCTGAAAAACTCTTGATGTTGAGGTGCTCCTGTACTGGTTTTCTATTTAATTTTTTTTCTATAAATTTCTGAAAATCCACAGCTCAATTCAGAGTTTAAAATAACCTAATTTAAAATAGTTATAGGTTTTATAGGCTTATGGAGATTTAGCTCTTCATGGTCTATAGAATTAGTGATATTTATTGAGCTAAATATTTAATATTGTCTCTATAATGAGGTTTATATTGAGTACCGAAAATTTACTTTTGCTAGTTAGAAATTTCCTAACATTTACTGCAATACTCCGTGAAAAATGTATGGCCAGAGTAGAAAAAATACCTTGTTTTACACCATACAGAGTTGAGCCAAGGAAATCGTTGGGTGTATGTGACAACAATCTCTAAACATTCATGTGAAACAGGTGCTGTCGACCAAGAAGTTTGTGGTGTCGATCGCCCAGAGCCGGCTGCCAGAGCTGCACTTCCTGCTGCGGAGTGTGTCTGACGCAGATCTGCTGGTGCTGCGCCGCCAGGGTCGTCTGATGTGGGAGAGGTACTTCGCCTCTCTACAGGCCGTCATTGACACTACGGTGGCTGTGCTGAGAGACAGGTTGGGTCTACCACCTCGGCCCGTCGTAGACACGCCTGCCTCACTGTTCACACACGACTCTGTGGTAGGTGGATGAAAATTCACTAGGAATTTGTATTTTCTATGCCATTGTCCAAGTTTCTGAGTACAGTGTAATTTGTGTAAATCCTTACTATGTTCTCTTCTCATCATCACAGCTAAATGTTTCGGTTGCATTCCTCACATCGAGATTACCCAAGTTTACATATGCAGTATTACAATTGTTGCAGATAATTTTGCAGATAGTCTAGACGTTATACAACAATCACCTGGTACAATATCGCTTCATAAAAAAAAAAAACATGAATTAGCTTTTTGGACATCAAATTGTTCTTGATACAAGGTCACTGCACTATAAACTGTCTAGGAGGTTATACTATTGTTTGACAAAATCAATCACAATATTTTATTGTTTGACAAAATCAATCACAATATTGTATTGTTTAATGTATTCGTGAATATTCTATGAACTGACTAGGAAAACAAATTCATTTCAATGGACAGCTTGTTACTAAATTAATTACCTACGTATAATCGTTCGGATTTACAATCTTAATCTTTGAGAGTGCCCCCAGCTTATACTAAATATATTCTGTGAATTAACTTAGCCAAGGCAATGCCTGAAAAAAGTTTCAGGCACAAGTTCACATTGAAGTGATTATACAAAACAACGCTGGAGAGACGTAACATAAACACTTCTCATTTACTAACAGGGGTGTGCCTACGGTGGGGGGGGAAGAGCGAGCCTGGACCCCTTCCCCCTCACCTGGCTGGGAGGTATTCCATTCCTCCCAGGCGTTCCGGAATTCGGGGCATGCCTAATATCTGGTGAGGCCTCAAAAACTAACATTCTAAAATTCTGAACGATTCTGTCTAAATGATTGTGATTTTTGTCTCATTAAGTATGAGAAGCCAGTTTATCCAAAAGTAATGTTTAACATTGTTTCTCTTGACAGTGTCATAACAAGTTTGTCTTTGTTTAGCCGGTGAAGACGGAGCAAGTAGTGGAAGCTGAAGAGAGCCTCGGACCATTGGAGCCTCCTTACCCTTCCCCTTCCTTTCACAGGAACTACTCCGTCTTTCTAGTACAGGTAGGCCTTTACCATGGCTACTTTAGGTTTATGTTTATGGCAAATTACTCTGTGTAATTTAATTTACTACTCCGTGTCACTGTAGTGCAGTAGATACTATAGGAGGGTTTTATGATAACGTAACAGTATCTGATGGAAATATAGCACAATAGGTCTTCCAACACATCTTTATGTATCTACACCAACGTAAACATTTGCAAGATGGTGGAAATATTTGAAATTTACAATGGCAATTTATTTAGATGTTTTCAAAAGAACCATTAACCAAAAACCTAGTGTGTAGGCTCCCTACGCACCAATAAATAATTTAGTTGATCATAATATTTTGTCCTCAGCTAAGAATACTGTTGGTGTAAATAGAGATTCATTTCAGGGTCATGAGATGTGGAACGATTGGGGTGATCCGTTTCGTCTCTACCCTCACCTACCCTTCGACCCTGTGCTGCCCTCTGATGCCAAGTTTGCAGGTAAAGTGTTGTTTTGGGAAATTAATTTAGATTTAAAATCAAAGCTTATTCTACTAAACACTGTAAAAACATATTTGGTGTCAATAACTATTTCCGAGTCTTATTGTCTTATTTAACTAAGTTATAGTATTTTTTGGTTGGTTATTCATCATCTGTTGTGGTGTACGGCAGGCTCTGGGACTGGGTTCCGCCCCATCGGCAGGGGAGCTGGGGGAGCTGGCAAGGAGTTCTGTGAGAGTTTGGGAGGCAACCATCCTCGCGAACAGTTCACTATCGTCATGCTCACCTACCAACGGGACCAGGTACAAGCTTACACGACACGTAATATCACCAAATAATATTGTTTTACCAAGAACAGTTTAATAAGTTGTTTGAAAACAGTAGCCTAAATTGAAATCCCAGATTAAACGTACTTATCACATTTATCATCTTCGAAGCTGAAGACAATTTTAAAAATCGTTCTGTTGTTTTATATTGGTATTGCTGTTGTTGTTGTTGTGATTGTGGTACTGGTATTGTTTCTTACTATTTTTTTCTTGTTTCTTGTAATTTTTTGACCAACTTTAAAAACATTTTGACTGAATGTAATGTAACAATCTATTTTTTTTTTTCTACTACCTGTCCCTTGGCTATACAACCGTCTTTGATTTATTGTAATAAATTGTACAAATTGTAAAATCCACCATGAAATAGGAGAGAAACATGTCTATTTGTTGAACTATGTAGAAGGACTATTTTCTACTAAACTACTTAACTACTTAGTTCTACTTAACTATTTTCTAGTCGAGTTACGACAAGTCAAGTCGATGCAGACACGACACTGAATATGTATACTGTACATGCAACTGTTTTTCCTCAATTGAAAATTGGGGAACAGTCATATTTTAAGTACTTTTTCTCATAAAAATATGATTTTTTTAGGTGCTGATGAACTCTCTCAGTAGACTGCAAGGCTTGCCTTACCTCAATAAAGTGGTCGTGGTGTGGAACTCTCCCCGACCTCCTCTGGACGACCTTCACTGGCCGGACATCGGAGTCCCCGTAGAGGTAAGCGGAGAATAGATACATGATAAAATGAAGGAACATTAGAGTCAGCATTAGTTTCAAAAGCCTTTGGTAATAATTTGTATGGTGACATCGAGATCCGCTACAATATTGAAGCTTGTCTCTAAACCTTAACCTTAGCTTGCCTCTAAGCTTGTTTGTGTTGTTCTACCTTGTGTTGTGTGTTGTTGAAGTTATTTACAATATTATTGATCGGCCATATTTGAACAAAGTCCACATGAGAATGAGGGTGAGGTGTTTTAAATAAGCTAGTGTTTATTGATTGTAAATAGTTTCAGTTTGTGTATTGAGACATTTTTTTTTTGTTTTGTTATGGTGGTGGTTTTGAAGTCAAACAATTTTCACCTTCATTGTAGTACTAATAATGCCAACTACGAATACCATGAATGATGTTTTTAGAAGCCTGCGGTTCCCCAGAATATTTTAGGTTGGGCCGGGCTAACAGTTGGCACCAAAACATATAGGTAGGGCCAAAGAATAATTGTAGGCACACAATCACTTTTAGTAATTCACCAGTACCGTCCATAGTATACCTTGTGAGTAGAGGTATTCATAAATCAATCTCAATATATTTGAAAGATGTGTTTTGAATAACAAATGAGATTTTATCCTAATTGTTATTTTACACTGATTGAGTCATTGCAGGCCTTTGGCAAAAGTAATTTGAGCAGGGAAAACAAGTTACTTGTCAATTGCACATGCAAAGGTTTATTTATTGTTGATACAATTTTAATACAAGCAAAACCAAATGTTAACAATTGAGAGTTTTAACAGTAAGTTTGACGCTTGAAATGAAAAGCTTTAAGGTACCTATCAAAAATCATTTTGAAAATATTGTCTGCTATCATAGAGGAATATTCTTTAATATCACATAATCTTATTAGTTTTAATTAACATAATATAAAATGATGACGATACTACATAGTATTTTTGCATCACAAAACAAACAAAAATTTGCATGAAGCTTTGTTTACCTTTTGAGTTAATTTAAGTCACAGAAAGCTCCATTTGACCCTTATCATTTGTGTGTGCTTCATTGCAACATTTTCTCAGTTTAATAGTAATACAAATAACTAGCACGCTTACCACAAGGAAAATAAGTGTAAAAAGAAGATAAGAATTGGATTTTGTATCTTCAACACACGTTCGCTGGTCCTTAGAAAGTACTAAGTGGTCGTAACATTGACACGCAACCTTACTTGCATTCATTCGTGTACACAAGTGGGAACAATTCTTCTTTTCACACAAGTATGTAGTACTGGCACCCCTGGACTCGTAAGTATCCATCTTGAAGTCGAGAATTTTCTCAGTTTCAGTCATAAGAATGGTCACATTCACTACATGATTAGACACTCTCGCTTTGTACAGAATGTAACTATCGTTGTTTACACTTCCCCACACTATTGTTCCATTGACAGCGTCCATTCCGAACGGTTGATGAAGTTCTGGACCACTATAAATAGCATCAAACTTTGTGAAACAGTAGTCAACGCTTAATAAGTAGTTCTTGTCGTCTTCCTTTGAGCAAATCAAGTATATTTTTTCTTGTTGAATGTCGAGTGCAAACTGTTTCAGATTGGGAAATTCGTTCATTTTCAGGACGGTGGTGCTGGAAGTGTTTAAATTGTATTTTACAAGTTCTGTGTCCTTCAGATATAGTAGGAACTTCCTGTACGGGTCTAATGCAATACTTGTTACTTCTCCAGAATGAATATGCGAAATATTTCCAGGTCCATTTCCCCAATGTATGCTCTTAGTATCCCTACAACTCCAGTATAAGGTATAATGATTCCAGTTTATGGCCAAGTCACCAATGTGGGTACAATCGGTGTTTAATTCCACTTGACTGTGCAGGCGCTCCGAAAATAAAGTACCGTCAACAATGTCTTTTCCCAAAACGTATTTAATGAGCCGGCCACGTGAAACAAAACAACTTATTGAATAATTTTTTCCTCCTATATCTTTAAAAGACAGAGTAACGTTTTTGAATATCCACTGTTTAATTGAACCGTTTTCAGTTGCATATATTATATTAGTTTCAAAAGCTTTGGTTTCAAATATTTTGTACAGCGACATTGTATTTGATCCGCCACAATGTTGATTGGGTACATTAGTACAAGGTTTACAATTTGTACTGTTGATCGCAACTAAAATGCCTTGAATTACATCGCTGCAAAAACATTCTTCATCGTTGTATCCTGCAAAAACATGTTTTCTCCCAAAACATTGTTTAATACAATTGGAAAAGTCTGGTGTTTCAGAATGTCTATCAGAACTGACCTTTGGTGATGCCCTTCTAAAACATCCTAAATAGTACTTTTCAAAGTCATCAGCTGAGATCAACAATAATATCTGTACCAGGATGATCATAACTAACCACATGTTGTTCACATAACTTCACATATACAAATGCAATATCACTTCCTTAGAGATTATTGTAGCTCTTTCCTTGTGTGATAAGCATTTTTTTACCACATCCCAAAATTTTCAACTTTCATTCTGATTATCTGTTCATCTCTTAAAAAATCACATTAGTTATTGTTTTTCTTGCTTGTAGACGCCTAAAATTAAATAAGCTATGAAATCGTTAATTTTTACAAATAAGTCTGTGATCGATAATAACTGAGGTTAATTGATTGAATATTTAGATAAAGAAAATTAGTTTAATACGTCTGATGCTAATATTGAATATTAGATAAATTTGTATATATTTCATTGAACTTTTACAGATAATATTTACTATCTTCAGACACAGGTTTTCCATTTTTTTAAATATTCGAATCCAAAATGTCTGTATTTGATTGATGAATGGCTGATTGAAACTATTCTAATTGTATACACCTCTTCAATGAGTTTTACATGGAATAAGTTCTCCTGTGGACAATTTTAACATTTTTTTCCAAATTCATTCACGTTCTGATCAGCAGCTAGAGTTGACAAGTAAAAAATCAGGCATACATTCTCTGTTTATTAAAGGTAGTTATCTAATTGATTCATTAATCATCTACCGGTAATTGGTCAGTTAATTTCATCTAATTGATTGATTATCTGATCTTTCAAAAATGTTGGAAAAACTTTAGTAGGATTAAACGTTTAATGTTAGTCGTCCTGTAGTTGGAACAAACTTTTGAATAGTTTTTTTTTTGAGGAATTACTTTGGCTTTTTTAAAAATAACTCTCTTGTTTGCCACTCTTAGTAAAAGTCTATTTTAATTTCTAAATAATTTACTGAACATAAAAGTTATTAATTTTGAGTTTGGATCGAGGGTTGTCCATAAAATCTCTTATTTTGTGAAACATGCTGTAATGTGTAAATGACATACCTATACAGCTATAGACCTAATAAATATTGATTTTTGAAAACTATTTAAATCTCCCCACCACTCATATCATGGTTATAACTGCCCCAATGATTCACATGAAATCTTATCTTAACCACACTGATTAAAAATAAACTCACAAGATAGTGTTCCAGAAGTTAGATAACTTTATCGGAGAAATAACCAGATGTATATTCTGAAACACAGCTTTTTATAGTAAATTTTATAGTTATGTATAAGATAACTCAGTTCATTTTGATAGGAAGTTGAAATTGTAATAAACTAGTTTCCTAAATTATTAATTGCTACCCATTTAAACTCCAGCAATTACTCAGTTATTTAAGTATTTATCTTTAGTGGAAAAAATTAAAACAATTGAAAAACAAGTTTTTAGTGACACTCACAATTAGAGTAATAAGTAGCAAACCCCTGATTTAAGGAGAAAACACAAAGAATCCATCTATCCCATAAGTTTTCATCTGAGCTATATAAACTGTTTATTTTGGGTAAGCCTCTACGTTTAAGCTCCACGATCAGCTGCACACCACTCGTGGCAGGATACAATCACTTGTCTCCTGGTCAGACAGACCTAGGTCTACCATAGCAAACCATGTTGTGTGAAATACCAATCCCCGACATGGCCACCAGTGGCGCACAAATACAATTTCAGTCAAATTTAAAATTGTGTACTACAAATTACCATAGACTCAAAAAACACAAAAGTGTGTTTATAGGAATGATTAGATATAATTAACTATTTATCAACTGTACACTAGACTACTACAAAATAAGATAATAATTATGTTAATTAAGCCATGTACCATCTGTGGTATACGACCTTTCATCGTTGAACATTACATGAACTTAAAAACATACTTTAAGTAGTAAAAATAGTATATTTCACTACTAGTCACGAAAGTGATTCATTTTGGGGCGAAATAGTGTTTTACATGCGAGTCAAAAACACTATCGAGCCCCGAAATGGGACTTTTGTGACGAGTAGTGAACAATACTTTTTATAACAATAAAAAATACCCCCGCCGCAGCAAACCTGCAGACTAAGCGAATTTCCATTTCCCTGAATGGATTTAACTTACACTAAAATGTCTCCTTAAAAATATCACATTTATTCCCTATTTAAATAGAATCAGTTTAAAACATACTTAGGTTTGCTGCAACAGGGAGGGTAAAAGTGTTTTTTTATGTAAAATGTTAATAGTTAGTAAGAAATAAAAACATTTTCCAAATTTTGGCAAAATATGTTTATAAACAAGCAAACTACAACAGTTTACTTATTCTCCATAAGAATAACATGGGAATTTTAAATTTACAATTTTTTGGAATTTTCTCCGTAACCATTAGGCGCATTATAACGCTTCAATATACTAAATTATTTGTTTTTTTAAGCTCTACAAAATAGTTTTGAAAGAAATTGCAAAATTTTATGTTTTTTGCGTCAAAAATGGGAAAAACCCATTTTTACCCCATAAAAGCCCCCATAAACCCCCATTCCCATGGTCCGATCATGCTGGTTCGCGAACTCGTTCGAATAAACGTAGGTTTACACGTTTGTACCAAATTTCATCAAAATCGGATCATTTTTGCTCGAGTTATCGCGCTAACGGACACATATATATATATATATATAAATATATATATAAATATATATATAAATATATATATATATGAATTTGAACGGATGGTGTTTTTGACCTCTAGGGACCTCAAAACGAAAAAAAAAATCGGTCCCGGGTCCAGGTCTTACCGTGAGTACTACGGTAATAGCTTATTCCCTATATGGGAAATTCGCTAAAAACTACTAAAAAAAATATCCGATATTTTGTAATCCACTAATTTTTATAATCTAAACACAATTCCCCTGTACAATTATTTTAGTGTGGAATTCACTTGATTTTAACTTTGTTTATGTCTGGCAAAGTATTGTTTGTGTAGCTTCTACAAACACGAGTGCACAGTAAAAACACCCACAATGTCTCCGAAATGCCATTTTGTTGCGTACAATCACCATAGTAACCAATGGCGCACGTAGTAGTTTTCAAAAACTTAATAAATCGGTAGAAGAATTATCGAAGCCAACGTATTAACAGATATACTATTTTGTTTTTGTAGGTTGTGAAGGCAAGCACCAACAGTCTCAACAACAGGTTCGTGCCGTACGACGCAATAGAGACTGAAGCAGTCCTCTCCGTAGATGATGACGCTCATCTGCGCCATGACGAGATCATGTTTGGATTTAGGTTTGTTACTTATGCTTTGATGGTAATACCACAGACTAACCAACACAAGTAGACTTCTCATCCCATTGTAAATTTTGAAGCTCGTTTTCCTGTCTAGTTCATGTCTAGTTCATACTGGGCGCTAGTGTCGACGAAATTTTGTTTCTATTATTTTAGGGGTAATTTCATGATTTGAGCTTAGATCGTATTATTTGGTTAGTTGAGGTTTTAAATTACTAAAACAACAAGAAACAAATTGTAAACAAAACATGACCTCAACAGTGCACCGTACAGAACTAACAATAAAATTTGCTTCAGCTGGTCCATAAGGATGAGAAATAATCTACTTTATCTATGGTAATACTTACATTTTTGTAAGCAGTATAAGCTCAAATATGTGAATCTTGATTGAACTGTCATTCTGTTGTAGGGCTGTTTCTGTATCGAATCTTGCCCATACCTTGAAATAATTTAAATAACCCTAATGATAAATGCATGCAAGGGGATTTACTGAGAGCTATTCAAATTTTGACTTTCCTGAAGTTTTAAGTTTAATTAACGTCACCTTGTTGATTTTTTCAGTCTATTTACATGAAACATAACCAAACGTTTAAATATTTTGAAGAAGAAACGTTATAGCACATTAATTTGTCCATGCTGCCAAACTATGTCTATGTTTTTCCAAGGTCTTGTGATCTTAGATCTTTGGTGGAAAAATAAACAAAACAAACATTGAAAAATATCATTCTCTCTTGATAACATTGGGAGCACCTTTCTGACCATTCAGTTTACACTGTTTGTAGAACTGTTGAGTGGGAGGGTTAATGTTATATATTTGCCAATTTTCTTACTGTGCTGGAGACAAATGTGTTGATGTAAGCAATCCAGTTGTGTTTCATGTGTTTGTTTGTTTGAAGGGTTTGGAGAGAACAGAGGGACAGAGTGGTTGGTTTCCCTGGTAGGTTCCACGCGCTTGACCTCAACTACGGCGGTTGGCTGTACAACTCCAACTACTCTTGTGAACTCTCCATGGTGCTGACAGGTCTGTGCTCAAACTAACATTTTGCAATTCATATTTCTAGCCCCTGATCTGGTTATATAACTAAATCGAAATTCTCAAATTCTGGTCTTTTCTTTTTAAACATGTAATTTAGCTTTGGTAGAATTATTTTGTATGGCAATTCAATCTAGATTTTCATTTTTAAGGCATTTAAATGATTACTAGGTGAACCTGTGCGAATTCGCACGAATAATAGTCGTTAGAAGTTGCGTCGTTGTATCGACGATGGTCTTGAGCTCGATCGTTGACTATATGCATTCTAAGTTCTTTTTGCTGTTAAGTAGTGGTATTTTGCAGGACAGAGCTCATCATGCTGAAAAATTGCGCGTATGGATTAATATCAAGTTGAGTCATGTTTTTAGGAAAAAGCATTTAGCTTGGATTAAATAAATAAATATAGGATGGAGAGGACACAGCTAACTCACCTGATGAAAGGTTGCAGATGAGTCAAAGAACACATAAAATCACACACATAATTTACTTAATATTTCGCCTCTTTCAGAGGCTTCTTCAGAAGTAGGCCTAGATGGTAGTTACAAAACAACAGTTGAAATAGGATGACACAGTTTGAATTCAAAATGTCTGACAGGTTGTCCAACTGACACTGCACAAATCACTAAATACAGGCACATTGCAATATTGTATTTACATATAATATGTACATTGAAAAGCAAATTAGTTTTGTCCATGAAAATAAATACTTAAGAGTTAGCTGTGAGGGTGAGGATATGAGGATATTATCTAATGTTGAGGTTAGGTGGGGTTCTGGAGTTGGTCACAAACTGGTAAGCTAATTCCCATCTTCTGAGCATTGAACTATTGCATTGGTTCTTTGGCAATGATTTTAGAGCTTTTATGGTGAAACAGTCATCAAATAGAAGTTGGTGGGATAAGGCATGTTGTGCAACTGGTTTTTCTTTGCTAGTTTTAACATCATGTCGATGGCCGTTCATGCGTTTTCGGAGAGTCTCGGTTGTTAGGCCTATGTACTGGGCTGGACAATGTGAACATTGAAGCTGGTAGATAAGGTTCTCTGAGCTGCAGGTATGATGGCCTTGGATTCTGTAATTTTTATTATGGTATGTGCTGGTAAAAGTGTCTGTAGGATGGTGTATCTGGCAAGATTTACATCGGTTTTCATTGCATGGGTATGAGCCCGGTCTTGGTTTCTCAGATGGTATTTTTGATGGATTTGGGAGTTTTGGGTGGACTAGCATATTCCTCAAATTTGGGGGTTGCCTATAGATTATGGAAGGGGCTCTTGAAAGGAGGTTTTTGGTTTGGCTGGAGGACTCTAGGATTTTGAAACCTGTTTTAAGGAGGTTGTTTAGTTGTTGCAGGCCAGGGTGGTAAGTGGTTATCAAATTTACTTGAAGATGGTTGGTATTTTTCTTTGTAGTTGGACGTGGGTTCTGAGCTGCTTGGATCTGAGATTTTACGAGAGTGCTAGGATAGCCTCGGTTTTCGAAGGCTTTTTGAAGTTGGGTTTGGTATTGTGTACGGTCTTTCGGTTCTGAAATTAGGCGATTTCCCCTTAGGGCAAGACTGTAAGGAAGTGATCTCTTGGTGTTATTCGGATGACAACTAGAAAAATGGAGGTATTGTTGGTGGTTGGTCGGTTTTATGTGGATAGATGTGGTGAGGTTATTGTTCCTTAGATGAATTGTAAGGTCTAAAAAGTTTATGGAAGTCTCAGAGAAATCCCAGGTGAAATTTAGCGGTCCAAAACTGTTGAGGTCTTCCAGGAACTTCCGTAGTGATTCTTCACCGTGGGTCCAAATTATGAAAATGTCGTCAATGTATCTAAACCAGCAGATGGGGAGGTGTTCACGGCTAGACAAAAACTTTTCTTCATAATTCCCCATGTAGAGATTAGCATAAGATGGGGCCATTCTTGTACCCATGGCAGTGCCCTTGATCTGTAGGAAGTGTTTGTCTTGAAATTGGAAATAGTTCTTTTCCAGAATGAATTTTATCAGTTGAGTTATAAACGAAGTGGTGGGTAGGGATCCTTTGGGTCTGTTTTGAAGGTAGTTTTCTGTTGCTGTTAGGCCGTGGACATGAGGTATGTTTGTGTAGAGTGAGGTGACATCAATAGTGGCCATGAGAGTGTTAGCGGGGAGTGGTTGTCTGACATTGTTAAGTTTTTGCAAAAAATCATTGGAGTCCTTGATATATGAGGCCAAGTTTTGTACTAGCGGTTGTAGATAGGCGTCTACGTATGAAGAGATACGTTCCGTTAAAGAACCGCAGCCTGATACTATGGGCCTTCCTGGCGGTGGTGTTATGCCTTTGTGGATTTTTGGTAATATGTAGATTTTAGGGCAGATGGGTTCTTCTGGTATTAACAGATTTGTTGTTTCTGGGGAGATATTGTTGGATTTGGAGTGTTTGTAAATTATTTCCTTGAGTTCAGCGGTGTACTTTATAGTTGGATCTTCTTTCAGAGGGAGGTAGGTGGAAGAATCACTGAGCTGGCGTTGGATTTCTGACACATAATCAGATTTATTCATTATCACTGTGGTCGAGCCTTTGTCAGCTGGAAGGATCATGATATCAGTATTTGATTTTAAAGTTGAAATGGCTTTTTTCTCGGCTTCGGTGAGGTTATGGAGTGTTGTAGAGGTTACGTTGTTTTCGAAAGTGGGATCTGAGATGTTTTGTACCAAGAAGTTGATGTATTGTTCTATCGGATGGTCTGCTGGTAACGGTGGGGGATCGAAGTCCGAGGGTGGAGCAAACTTCGCTAGGGAGGGCGCCACACTGTTGGATTTCGAGTTGTCTTGATCTTGTGAGTTGAAATAATGTTTGAGACGTAGGTTCCTAGCTAGCGACATGATGTCTTTAACTAGGCCAAAATGGTCAAAACGGGGTGTGGGACAAAAACTGAGACCCTTGGTCAAAACTGTTTTTTCTATTTCTGAGAGCTGGTGGTTGGATAAGTTGCAAACTTGTTGGTCATTCGTAGAGGTTTCAGGGTTGTTTGGGACAGAATTGCTCTTTAATGGGGAAGTAGGAATCTTCGGTGGTTTAGGTAGAAAGGGTTTTTGGCCTACTGGTATAGGTAGTCCTAAGAGGGAGGCCAGACAAGGCCTATCTGAGATTAGAGGAACCAAGTTGAGTCAGTGCTGCAAGAGCCAATAGCTTTGTTTAGCATTCTTTCTTTAACAGCGGTTTCGACGTCCGTAGGTATAAATTTAGGCATATGTGGGATGCTCCCCTTCTGACGGTTGAAAGGTGACAATCGGGTGATAAATTGTGTCGTGCACCTTATACATGAAAGGCCATCCACCGTTATGTTCTTCAATTTTCGCTTGAGTGCTGACCATTGCGAGCGCAGAGTTGTACCTGGTTGTACAATCTAATGTTCTCTTTGTAGTTTCTGCTCAAATGATTTGCTCCATTAAGTAGAATCTTAATATAATAGATTTCTTGGTATGGTGGTAATTCACTTTTCCTTTATGGCAGCAGGGTGAAAATCCTTCGCCTCGTCCTCTTTGTTCTTCTTTAAAATGTAGCACACCACATTTCTGACATTTTAATGCCATCTCGCCAAGTGAATGCTGCTGAATTCTTGTTCTTGTCAGTATAATTTTGTAAATACACGTGGCCACTATCTGTTCCAGCTCTTCGTCTGGGCTCCTTACGTTTTGCATTGCTTGTTGTATGTTGACTCGCCGTGTCCGACCGGCAATACTTCTTTGTCGTCGGGTCCTTGGCATGTTTAATCAAAATTATAATGTAAAACTTTTCTCCCGTCGTGTCCTATAAGTAACATTTCTTTGCCGGGTTTCTAATTATTTTAAAAAACATGCAAACTGTTTACATTTCAAAACCAAACAAAACAGCTGGGATTTAACTTTTTTAAACTAATGTATTGACATCTGTTTCAGAATATAATAACATTCAAATCAATCACAATGTTATCCTTATGGAAGGAACTTTGAGGGAAGCCCACGCCCTTAAAAATATATATTTCGAAAATCTAAAGTCAGTTTGCACATCTACACACCTAGACGAACATTTTGGTTTAAAATATGTGGGGTTAAATCTTAAAATAAAAAAGCCTTATTGTTCACAAAGTTTCATGTCGCGTATTAAATATATAGATTTCAAATCTAAGGACTTTTACTTAGATCTTAAGTTGATTTTGGGTCTGTTATTACTTTTTATTTGTTACTGGCTAATTGTGAATATCTTTTTTTTAATTAAATATCAAGCAAGACTATCATTTAGACTGCTCCATTATAAAGAATGTCAAATTTTGCCTCTGGTTTACTCAGAAATGCCTCCAGGATTGATTATTGACTATGTACATAGGTTTACATATCTAAAGTCATCAATCCTCTTAGCCTATTTTTGTGTATTGACGACGATAAGATGTCCCAATAATTTTATGAGGCAAGAGGCTTGAAAATGAAACTGCTTTTTCGAAACTACTCTCCATTGTTTAATTTTAGGATTGATGACGTAATGTATGTAATTTATTTTGCCCCTGGTTTAAATACGGAAAATAATAATTCATGGAATATATTTTTATATTGTCACTTTATTTTTTCTTAACTGTCTGTGAATGTAATTTGTGTTACAGGGGCGGCATTTGTACACAAGTACTACACTTACATGTACACCCACTGGCTGCCTCAAGCCATCAGAGACAAGGTGGATGAGTACATGAACTGCGAAGACATTGCCATGAATTTCCTAGTGTCCCACATCACTAGGAAACCCCCTGTCAAGGTAAGGTAAAGAGAACCTAGTGTCCCACATCACTAGGAAACCCACTGTCAAGGTACAGTAAAGAGAACCTAGTGTCCCACATCACTAGGAAACCCACTGTCAAGGTACGGTAAAGAGAACCTAGAGTCCCACATCACTAGGAAACCCACTGTCAAGGTACAGTAAAGAGAACCTAGTGTCCCATATTACTAGGAAACCCCCAGTCAAGGTACGGTAAAGAGAACCTAGTGTACCACATCACTAGGAAACCCCCTGTCAAGGTACGGTAAAGAGAACCTTGTGTCCCACATCACTAGGAAACCCCCTGTCAAGGTACAGGAAAGAGAAAACCTCATTATTGATTGATTTGAAAGTCAAATCAAAATTTATTGTCATACCAACGTTTGTACATATCATGTCTATGAAACAGGTGACATTGTTAAAAGGGGGTTAACATATTCATTATTCTATGGTCACGGCATAGTCATAAACAACTTCTGTGGTCACAGCAAAATGAGAACATTTTCTGTGGTCAAAGCAAAATCGAAGACAACTTCTGTGGTCACAATTTTCATACATCACTATAAGTAACGACATCTTCTGTTAGTTTGACATATACTTTAAGTTTACTGTTGTTGGTTGCAGGTGACATCACGTTGGACCTTTAGATGTCCCGGCTGTCCCGTGTCACTATCTGAGGACGAAACTCACTTCCAGGAGAGGCACAAGTGCATCAACTTTTTCACTCAGGTGGGGATAAAATACTATAATCAGTTAAATTATCCATACTCAGTCATACTATCAGTTAAATTATCCAGACTGGGTCTGTACTGTATTTTGAAAGAGGTTGTGATAGATGATAAGGTAGTGCCGAGGAAGTTAGTTAGTTTTTCAGTATCAGTTCTTATTTTCTGTTAATTCACTACCACTGCTTTTTTATTGCAATTCCGATATTTTTAACAGTTAGCCTAGTCTATGAATATATCAATTATAAAATGAAACTATTCTATATTAACCTAACCAACCAAATTTGCTGATTATGAAAAAATTCTGTTAGTGAATAAACCGGAATAAAAAAAGTAGTGATATTGAATTAATGGAAAATTACCTCAGTATCATTTAACAACAAACTTTTTTGAGTTCTATTTTGATTACATAATATAGGGACAATATATGTTGTTTTACTTTGATTTGATGACAACACATTTTCATTTACAGGTGTTTGGCTACACGCCATTACTGAACACTCAGTTCCGAGCAGACTCCATCCTCTTTAAGACAAGAATACCTCACGACAAGCAGAAGTGTTTCAAGTACATCTAAAATTATCTTTTAGCGAATTTCCCATATAGGGAATAAGCTATTACCGTAGTACTCATGGTAAGACCTGGACCCGGGACCGATTTTTTTTTTCGTTTTGAGGTCCCTAGAGGCCAAAAACACCATTCGTTCAAATTCATATATATATATATATATATATTTTTATATATATATATATATATATATATATATATTTATATATGTGTCCGTTAGCGCGATAACTCGAGCAAAAATGATCTGATTTTGATCAAATTTGGTACAAACGTGTAAACCTACGTTTATTCGAACGAGTTCGCGAACCAGCATGATCGGACCATGGGAACGGGGGTTTATGGGGGCTTTTATGGGGTAAAAATGGGTTTTTCCCATTTTTGACCCAAAAAACATAAAATTTTGCAATTTCTTTCTAAACTATTTTGTAGAGCTTAAAAAAACAAATAATTTAGTATATTGAAGCGTTATAATGCGCCTATCGGTTACGGAGAAAATTCCAAAAAATTGTAAATTTAAAATTCCTATGTTATTCTTATGGAGAATAAGTAAACTGTTGTAGTTTGCTTGTTTATTAACATATTTTGCCCAAATTTGGAAAATGTTTTTATTTCTTACTAACTATTAACATTTTACATAAAAAAACACTTTTACCCTCCCTGTTGCAGCAAACCTAAGTATGTGTTTTAACTCATTCTATTTAAATAGGGAATAAATGTGATATTTTTAAGGAGACATTTTAGTGTAAATCCAATCAGGCAAATGGAAATTCGCTTAGTCTGCAGGTTTGCTGCGGCGGGGGTATTTGATAATTCATTTGTTTTAAGTCAAAAAGGTTGGCGGCCTCTTTCACCCGTGCATTTTCTTCACCAAAAAGGCCTGTGGCCTATACACGGAACGTATCTTGCATAGTAAGAGGTGAGCAGTTACAGTACAAGAATAATCTGTATTGATGAACATTATTGGAGGCACCCACGACATCTCTGCCTTAGATTCATCGTCTGTTGTGCTCCTGACTCAGCCACTCACTCATCTGTCAACTTTTGCTTGGATATTCAATTATTCATTTAGAAGGTAGCTTGCCAAAAGGTATCAGTTTCAAACTGAAAATCAAATATTAATTTTAGATAGTTAAGGACCAAAGCTTTATTACTTAGGATATAGAAGGCTTAATACTTTAAAGTTATAAACAGTTTAAGATGATACATGATATTTTATCAACGTAATTAAAGCGAATCAGAGCAATTTTGAAGTGACCTTAATTATTACAGGATTTGGGATTGTGTAAAATGTAATATCTCCTTTGATTTCCAACATACTATAATATACAGGAATATTGATCCATCCAGATTTCCAAGACAGTTCCCCTCTTACCATTATAGAAAGAAGGCAATTTAATCTAACTTAAGGGTACAGTTAATTTTTGTTTCTGAAATCATTAGCAATCAACTATTTTACAGTTGATTTGGAAGTCCGGATAGTACTCTTCTGCGTTCTCTCCTCTTGAAGCACATGTATTTTGTTATTTTCCACCTTCTTATTTTATATTAGGACGCTAGGCTCTGGCCTGGAACTGTTTTACACATTACATTAGACTACCCCTCTGGGTTAAGGTATTATCACTTATTGTTAATTGGCGGAATTTGAACCCATGATCAAGGTTACCGAAGCCCCGTGCTCCACCACTATCATCTCACTCGCTAAGTACAAAATTAGCAAATTAGCAACTATCAATGTTGCAAAAACTTCTTGAATTAAAAAAGTCATGTTAGTACACAGGGTCAGTGTAACAAAACCGTATTCGGACTCAAAACTTATAAAATTATCAAAAAATTGTGTCTAATAATTTGATAATTAATGTAAAATGTGAGAATTGCTACCAGTGATGACATTAATATTTATAATTTTGTTTACATAGAGATTTGCCGTAATAGTAATACTTAGACATAAAGTTAACCTGTAAATATTGTAATTATACATAGTATACACATGTAAATAAGTGATCATACAGTAATGTGTAAACATTAACTTAACTTAACATGTAATTTTTAAAAGCTAGTTTATAGAACAACTTTAAATTTGCCAATTAATTGTTTTAATTCGCAGTATTAGGTTTAATTAAGCTGGGATTGAATTATAGCATGCTAATTGCCTGACTAAGCAAAATCATTTTAAATTTGAAAATTGTTTTGTGTGACTTAGCCTACAAATTTTTATTTCATTGTTATTTATTAAGGTTCACCAAAAATTGTACGTATCATTATGCGAAACTAAATTTATAATTGCACAAATGTGAGTGTGTCTCAATTTATTGATATAGTTTATGTATGTTTGAGGAATATGTTGGTGTGTGTTTTATGTTTATTATTTTCTTGACCATGCAACACAGTCATTTTTACTTCATCTGTTTGCACAAAGATACATTTTATTCTTGCCAGAAAAATGTTACTGAGTTTCATATTATAGTTTGCATTATACTGAATTTTTATATGAATAGGTGCTGTAATCCATGAATTGTTGTTTACACTTGATGCTATTATGTTCATTTACTAGTCAGTAGTTATTTTATTTGATTGTAATTAATTATTAGCTCGATATACAATGTATACAAATTTTGAGTTATACTATTTTTGTACTCTGGGGCCATCAAAACCAAAAAGTATGTCCTAAGTCGAGGTGTTACAGTTGTATCTGCCATATTCGACAATACCCTACAGTGGGAAAATTCACTTAAATCAAAAGAGATGTGTTATCCATGCTGTTAAACTAATTCTTATCACTAATTTGTTATCAATGAGAATTAATTAGGAACCTAGGTATACAAGTTTTATCTATTTTTTTTTATTTTTAGGAATTGTATAGTATTTTTTTTACTATAATGTTCTGATATTTTAATATTTATTTAATTTGTGCCATTTATATAGTTCATATTGAACTAGCTTGCGATTGAAAATAAACAAAATTGTAACATTTATAAGTCTGATTGAGTTACTTCCATTAAACACAGGTTTTACAAGTCAAAAATAAAACTGAAATGTACAATAAGTTGTAAAAATACACACTCCTAACTGTATGTATCCAGTAAAAAATTTAAGACAGCATTTTATTTAGATTTTTTAAATCATTGTGAGGATTTTATTTTATTCAAAATTATTTACTGTACTCAAATAATTTTCAAACATATTTTAGCTACATATGTCAAACCCATTTTATTCTGTGGTGTTGTTTTGAAGTTCTATTGTCTTGGTTTCTTTGATGCCTTGACCTTGATGGTCACTCACTGGGGACGTCCAAAACCTGTCTGTCTTCGTCTAGCTTCCGTCGCATGACCACGGTTTTGTATATGGTCTTCACACCAGCCACCGCTCATGTTCTCATTTGATAATTCACTCACCCCATTTTTTCCCATTTACGTTTTCACTGCAAGACCAGTCTTTTAAAGAAATAATCTTTTTGTTATTAAGAGACCAAAAGTGTTGTTTTATCACCCGGATGCCAGTGTCAGTGCAGTTTGTGACATCCACGTAATGCTAAGTAGCCTCAAACTTTCTGAACTTCTCTGTGTGTTTTGACATTGACATTATCATACAAAGTAACAAATATTCTGAACTCATCAGTTTTCTACTATGTAAACTAAATCCAGATCAATGAAACCAAATAATTGGCGTTGTTTTTATTTTAAATCAAATTTTAAACTTTATTCTTCAAAACATCCATGGTCGCAATGAAACCACATTTTGGTTACCTCATTACCTTTATCAACCTACATCTGAGATTTTGTATTTCATAGAAACTTTGTTTTTAAACAAAACCATATAAATTTTAACCAGTGTTGTTGTATTTTCTGGTATATTTTTTGTGTAGTCCTTATTTATTAGTTTTTTTATTCCAATCTCAAGTGCCAAAGCCATTTTCTTTGGAGATTTCCCAACTTCGTATTCAACTATTATTATATTCTTTCCCATGTAAGGGAGAGAGGTTAGTATAAATTCTCTAGACTTCTGCCCAGCTTTTCTATTTGATTCAATTTTGTAACTGTTAGCTAGAGTGGATACTAAACCACTCACTAATTTGTGATGAAACACGTTCTGCTCTGTAGATATGCTTTTGGTTTTCACTTTAGTTAAATATCTTTGTAACAAAGTTGAGAAATCATCAATCTTTAAATCTGTTAAACTTTGTTTTAGTTTTATATATTCTTCATCGGTAACATTTAACTTGTATGATACCCATCTTGAGACTCCCTCCGCAATCATGTTTCTTACCTCTAGATTTGGTATTGACAGGTCCCACGGGTGAATATAACAGTTGTATTCACAAGGGCCTGGGACAGATTTGAAAAACCCTCCAAACAAAAACACTCTATGAAAAGTATCTTCAATCTTCAACAAATTTATCGGTTTATTAATTTCTTTCCTAGAGACCACTTTATCTTGTAAAAGTTTTTGGAGATATTCTTGTGGACCATCCATCAAATACACTTCATCAAATAAATTTCTCGATGCTCGTACAAGATTCCCCCAATAAAAATCAAGCTTTCCCTCATTTTCAATGCACGATAAAACTGACCAAGGATTGTACGTAGGAATCCTATCAAAATCAAAGCCATTGTACCAGTTTTTAAGATGAATAGGGTCGACATTTGTCTTAACCGTTTTGAGAATATCGTTAACTTCATCGACGGTAAAACCAAAATAACTCGCAAACGTCATATCCACTATAGTGCTATGGCGAACATCACTCAGCTTTAATATTTCATTTAACCATCCAAAATGATACGTTCCAATCAAAACTGCTCTCTCTAAAAACCAGTTGTCCTTTAAAGCTTTTCCGATCATTTCATAAACCATGTCGAGGACTTTTTTGAAACTGTCCGACTTTGCTCCAAAAGCCGAATAAGCTTTGGTAATAGGCGCATCGTAATCGTCAATAAATATGTAAACATTCCTTTTATAGTGTTTGAAAAGAAGTTTACTTAAATAGAGTATACTGTTTTTTAATTGGATCCAATCAAAAATTTCATCTTCCCATTCTGCTTCGTTGATAAAATGGGTTTTATTTCCTATGCGTGTTATCAAATAGGGAAACTTGGAGTATAAACCAATAATTATTTGTTTCATTGAATGTTGGAATTCATCAAAGGAACTTCCTGAGATATCTTTTAAACTCAACAAAATTACAGGATTGTTACCTTGGTGGTCCATCGCACTCGAGTATTTTGAAACTTTCAAAGGTTTGAGTAATCTTGTCCCACATTCACCCGTAACATTTCCACCGACAAACAATAATCTGTTGACCTTGTCCACATCTTTCATTGGATTGCCTAGCTTATCAACTTCAATTTCAAAAAACGTTTTAAACATGTCAATGTTGATGCTCTTACCCCATTTGGTAGGCCGAGTGATGGTCAAAACAACCCCTCCTCTCTCAAGGTACTCGTTTAACATTTCACTTTTGTCTACAAACACAGAACTACACAATCGCAGCTTTTTGAAGTTTGTTGTATTCAACAATATATTTAATTTTCCAAAAGCTTTTTGATGCTCATTTGTTAAATGGTGTTTATAGCTATATATCTCACTGAGAAGTAAAGAACCATGAACAATCACCAAAAATAGAGGCACATCGTAGCACAAACGAGATAACAGACGTTTCATATGTGAACCTAAAAGGAATTGACTGACGTGAAATTAAATGTTACTCAGATTCTTATGATGTTCTTATCAAAAAAGTAAGATTATTCAGTGATAATAATTTTACAAATGGATTTGTCATCAGTTATAGCTTAATGAATTCACTGCTAGCTGCAGCAGTCTTTAAATAAAAGTTCTCACCTCGTACAGTTTAGCTTTATGTGGAACTTCATTGATATGCATCTATTTACCGACAAGAACTACCTTGATCCAAATTCTATCTAGGTTAACCAGTTTATCAGGATTTTATTCCTGCAATGAAAAAACCTTTATTTTTTAACATTTTTATTAAAAAATAATTCTTATATTGACATAATTAACATATTGACATAACATGATTTAAACACTATCAACATTTTTGATTGTTTACAAATTATAAAAATATTATAGAACACATTGAACTAAATACTTATCTTCTAAATTTACCTGTGATTGAATTGAAGCATGTAATGTAACAAATTAAAAACAAACTAAAGTACGAATAAAATAATACAATTAATTATGTATGCAAATTTAGGCACTTGAAAAGGCACTAAAATATAGCATAGTAAAAAGTAAATCACGATGCATATAATTTATAACATAACACACTTTTAGATGATATTTTGTAAAACACATAATGTAAAACAATAGTGAATGAAATCTAAGATTTAAAACCCTGTTAATGTCTGATTCAACACTTTTATTACGGTACGTAAGTTGAGTGGAGCTCTCTGACTCAAGAAAATTTAAGGAGAAAAATAGTTGTTCATCTTAAGGTGGTTTTTAAAATGAATATTTAAAGTGTTCATTGAAAAAAATATAATCAACGATTTTCTCCATACGGAGTTAATGTAACATGAAAGCTCTGAACAAACTAACAAATTGTACATTATAAGTTTTAAGAATGCTTACATCGTTTGTACATATTTATCCAGAGAACACATCTAAAGCACCACTTATTCAATAATTAAGTGCATCTAAAGCACCACCGGTTCATATATTAGAAGTGATGTCAAAATGTTTGTCTTAGATTTAATTGCAAATATTAAAGCGTAATTCTTTCATGACAAAGAAGAACTCAAACTAAACCACTGTTATAGAGTTCTTTCGGAGATGATTGTTGTTTAAAACATTCATAAAACATGTGATTCATTTTTTTGTAACCAAACAAAGATTACATATCACAGACAGAAATCTCTAAGCATCTGTATAACTGATTACATCAGTTGATCACAATTAAGAACTAATAATAATGGAAACTCAAAGATACCGCTTATGTAAATAAATACGTATTAAATGAGTAGTTTACAGTTTATATGACTTGATGGAACGAGAGTCTTTAAAAACACGACACTGTTTATACAGTCGGAATACGAGGGTTTGTGTGAAACAGCTGACAATCAGCAGAGAAGATCACATAGGAACTACGGCGATACTAGACAGATAAGTTGACACTCGATTGTTGATGTCGAGTGTTTAGCACCAGCAAATTACCATGGAGACTGTACACCCATGGCTCGTATTACTTCTATGACGTCTTTTTACTTTCTGTACTCGATGTGACTTCTTCTTTATGTTTTCTCCTGTAGCTCTGCAAAAAAGATTTTCATTCACTTTAACTTGATTAATTTTGTAGATCTTTTAAAATGATTTTTTTAATTTCATAAATTTTCTAACTAAAAAATCTGGTATTTTTGTTTGATCCTCCTTAAAGAAAGTACTATTGGTCGAGCCTCTCTAAACCCTTGTATTTGCCCATCTAAAGGCATTGGGTTTGCAAGTGTAACATATAAACTTTTCTTCAACGAGCAAAAATTCACCTGAATTTGATATTTTTATGGATACAATTTTACTAAATGAAGTTAAAACAATAAAATTTCTTGGATTGCATATAGATGATAAATTCAACTGGGACAGTCATGTTGAAAACGTTTGTAATAAAGTCAACTCAGGCATACATGCATTAAGACAGATGTCAAAATTTAGTAGTTTAAAAACCTTAAAAATAGTATATCATTCCTTAATTGAATCACATATTTCTTTTGGGTTGTGTCTTTATGGGGGCACATCAAATTTTAACCTAAATAGCATTCTGGAACTTCAAAAAAAAGCAATTCGCATTATGTTAAAACTAAAGTCAAAAACATCCGCAAAAGAGCAGTTTAAAGAAATAGGAATTATGACTGTTTTTAGCTTATACATTTATCAAATAGCCCTTTATATTAAATCAAACCATGAAAGATTGCCAAAATTGAACTCTTTTCATACATATTCAACCAGAAAAGGTAATGAATTGGCGTTCAACAGACATAATTTATCGGTTTATGAAAAAATTCCATCTTATAGTGGTGTTAAATATTTCAATAGCTTACCTGACAATATAAAAAATATAAGTAATTTTAATTCATTTAAAAAACGTTTGAAATTATTTCTCACCAACAGACCCTTGTATAAATTAGAAGATTTTTTCCAACTTCCTGAAATTTGATTTTTTTTATAATAACAATATTCTTTGTAAGTAGTCTTAAGTTTAATATTGTGTTTTTATAACTACGAGGTGTTAGCCCGTCCTACGTACGGGAATTCAGTAGTCAGTTAAAACCGTGTACAATTCAGATCAGCTAGTTTACACGAATAAAGGCAAAGTTTCTTGCAGTTTTAATGTGAAAAATCATCTTGTAAACAAATTTTGTGTTGTTTTTTTTTCCATGATGTTTTTATTCCATCATAGGCGTATACGATAATATTTTAAATCCGATAATTTTACAATAAAACAGCAATTCTGCAATTTTTACGATGTGAAAAGCGTTGTAGTGAGATTTGCAGCCGATTCGCACAGACGCACACTGATTATAAGTAGCCTACGGTAGAGAGAGTAATAGTCAATTGAGAAGTGTGTAGACCTAGTTATCGATACCACCTTCCATAGCATACCTGCCTCTTCCATAATTATTATCACCAAAATACAACTACTATTCACAATTTCCAGTAGGTCTGAATAGAAACGACCTAAAATTAAACGATAATATCCAATAAAATTCACAGTAGCCTACATATAATTTAACTTTGGTGTCATAACATCAAAACTAATCGTCAAATTTCACTGCATTAATTGCTAAATAAATAAGTGTAAAAAAAGAAAAGTAAAAACAATAACAGTTTGTTTTGAAACAGCTGTTTGGTTCAAATAACATTCATTTGAAAAAAAGAACTGGTCACATGTAGCAGGAAAATAAAAAGTAAACACGCTAGTAAAGCTAATGACGTAATTGTCAATGTTTATTATCCATACCGTTATCAGTTCTATCCTTGATAACCCACCCTCATTGAATAAACGTACATCGTAATTTCCCATATTAGTTCATTTAAATTACAATATATTCATAGTTGAAATAAAAGTGATTTTTTCACGTTTGGGGGGCGCTGATATAGGTGCCCCTAAACGTAACCACAACTGAACACGATTTCATAAAAGGGTGGTTTGTTTAATTGCAGTATCCTAGGTCAATGTTGACGTTGTGTTCAATCTATGTCATCCATCTGTTTATCTTAGTATAAAACCCGGCTGAGGTTGTGATGGTAATTTAAAATCGTGATTTCTGATTATTCTTGATCTTCTTTTTATGACATCAATATTTCCGGGCCTAATCCAAAGAAAGTTAAAGCAGACAAACATTAATTGTAAACAAAAAGCTACCATTAAGAGTTAAACCTGTAAACATTGTTATTTTTCTAATCTTTTCTTGAAAAGTGGAGCAGAAAAATAATTTGCATTTATCCTTTTTTATTAAGACTCGTGTACAGAGCCTCGATTTGTACTATGGTTTAATTAATTTTGGTTAAAACTGTGGTCTGATTATCTCTACTAATCTTACTTATTTCCTATAATCAATGACAAAATAAGAGTAAATAAAATAGCCTCATAGTTCCATAGTTTATATTTAACCAGCTGTTAGTTAAAACAAATTATATTGCTCTAAAACAAAACGAAGATTACAAAGATTGCTTTAAAAAATAATTTGAACATCCTAGTACTTTACTATGTATATTTAATTAATCTGTCATCCTCTTACAGAAGAATTGCACGTATCAATGATTAGCATTACACATAGTATAAATAAGTCAACCCTAAGTATGTCTTTACATTTTTATCCAAATGCTGAATGTTTACAGCTGTTATGTTAAGCAAATTATTTTATTCCAAAAGCTAGTTAAGAATCTTAGCGTCGGCTGCTAGACTTTTTAAAAATTAAAACTTAATTTCTATAAAACTGGGACCCTAAAGTAAAATTATGGCTTCGACATTCCCTAGTTCTCAAAATTATCTTTCTTTCAACACAAATATCACGAAAATCCGTCGACTGGTTGATTCAGAATCGTGAAATAAAAAAACACCGTTTCGTTTTAATATTATAGATGACTCCATTCTGTACAAAATGTACAATATGAATAAAGTTATTTTGATTGATTGATTGATTGATATTCAACAAAGCAAACAGGGCCGTATTTAGAATCTGGGGCCCCCGGCGGTTTAGACCAGAGATGCCTCTAATTCTTGATTATTTGGTGGCTTGTGACGTACTATTTCCAACTGTATCTCCACAATCTCAAATGCTACAAGACTCACTATATGAATAAGAGGAATTCTACTCTAACTGTATCCATCAACTGGCAAGAGATTGAGACATTATGACTAGTTACATGATAGTATGGATCAATCTCCTACTTTCAACAGCTGTTAACTACATATAACTCACGGCAGCAGCAATGTTGTGTAGAAGGTCTCGTGTGACTTTGCCAGTCTGTTCCACCATTCCATACAGAACTCCCTCCTGGTTCTGCAGCAGAATGTGAGGATGGTTGAACTCCTACAAAACATTGTTAGAGAACAGTTCAGTACAAGACATGAAGTGTGTATGGTACTTTTACACTGTGAAAACATTCCAACATTATTTATTAAAATTTCACACAGGGCCTCACACTAGTGTTCAACCAACGATCAATTAACGACTCAGTCCTGGGACAATCCCAAAGAATCATTTAGAGTTATAATACTACCAAGGTGATAATTAATTAGTTTTGTTGATTTGATTGGGTACATCTCAAGGACTGCTACTAGGCTGTTTAACACATTTTTAAGGCTACGATGGTGTTCCTTTGTACTAACAAAGGAACACCATAGTAGCCAGCAAAGATTTCTCAACTTGAATCACTATCTTTATAGAAACTGGTGAACACATTGACTATGCAAATGTGTTGTATTGTGTACAGTGTTTTGCGAACACCCTAAGTTGCTGTTGCATATTTTTACATCTTGCCACTTTTCTGTATTCAAATATTTTAAATGGCATCAAATTTAATTAAGGGTTGCTTTTATGAACCTAATCACAGAACATGATTCATACTTGACGGGAGCATTGATTTTTCTTGGTACAGTTTTTGGCAACAATAAAGAGACTGATAGTGGCACAAAGGTGGTAACTGGGTAGAATATGAAGTAAAAAACACAGTTCCGTTGTCACATGCAAGTTAATCCACTTGGTGGTGACAGGAACTCTAAGGAAAACTTATCATAGATGAACTGAATGAACTAATCGCCACTCACCACAGCTGTTCCTGCTGACATGACCAACACCTTGTCCGAGTCCATGACAGTATTGAGTCTATGTGCGATGGTCAGCACTGTACACTCGGCAAACTTGCGACGGATAGTGCTCTGGATCAGGCCATCGGTCCTGTAACATGGAAATAGTTGAAACTCAAATAGAAAGAAACTTAAAATGTTATGTTGAGGCAAGTTGTGACGTAGTTTATTTCTGTACCTAGTACAATCATGGATGCCTACAGTTACAGTTTCAGTAACCATCTTCCAGACACAGCTAGCAATCTGGTTATTGAACCTCAAAACCAGTCTGACTCTGCCTTCACTTTCCACATTATATGTGTGAAAACGGAAGGTAAATGTTACTTCATATGGTATGTGTGTGATTTTAATTACAGTTCAGGTGGTCCTAATTACAGTCACAATTGGAGTTACATTTTGGTGGGGGGAAATTCTTTGATCTTCTTTTTCAGTGGCTGTCAGAAATTTTTGAAACCTTTTTTTTTGACGATTTGAGAAAAATTAATTAGGTTAAGTAAAAGTTTTGTTAGCTCAGTAAGCTTATCTCACTGGAAAAGAGTCCACCCTGGCCCCTGGCCGGAAAAACACAAAAACTGTACTCAATAACTCACTACAACAGAGTTAGAACAACATTTCACAGTCGCTGGAAGAATTTTTAACCCTGGAGTATGAAAAAACTATTGAGCCATTGAGGACTCTTTTTTTTTGTTTAGGTAATCCTGTTAAAAAATCCTATCCAAAGCACTTGTGCTCAGTGTCACGTTTTTAGATTTAACACAATGATAATATTTTCTATGTATTTTGAAGCTTGTGAATCCTTTTACATAGCCACATATGATGTTGAGGAAGCCAAGAGTATATACTCACTGAGGGTCGACATTGGCCGTGGCTTCGTCCATGACCAGTATGCGATTGTTGCGGACGATCGCCCTGGCCAGACATACAAGTTGCCGCTGTCCCACACTCAGGTTGCTGCCTCCTTCCGACATCTTGCCATTCAGCCCTCCTGCCAAGTCCTTGATGACTTCCTTCAGTTCAACCTGTTACACCAGACAAAATCAGTAAATTTTAGATTTTCTAAGCAATTAGTAAGGGGTATCTTATGGGAAAGCATAACATGAAAACTATAGTTTAGGGATTTATAGATTTACAACATAAAACAAAAATTTATTCTAGCACTATTATATTTTGCTGAAAGGTGTATATAGGATATTTTCACAAACCCTAAAGGCGAATTAGGAATAATTTACCTCCTCGAGTGCGTTCCACAGCACCGAGTCCGTGTACTGGTCGAAGGGGTCGAGATTCTTGCGCACAGTTCCACTGAACAACACGGGTTCCTGTGGGATGATGGAGATCTTGCTGCGTAGCTCATGAAGGCCGATGGAGGAGGTGACGATGTAGTCGATGTCTATCTCTCCCTGCACCTCGGCCAGACGGAACAGAGCCGCAATCAGTGAAGACTTACCAGCGCCCGTCCTGCCTACAATACCTACCTGCACAGAGACAACGAGATAGGTTAGTTGTGGTTAAGTGAAATCCATTCACTTAATCGAAAGATCCTTTTAAAATTATTCCCATGTAATCTTTACGCCTTAGTTCATCTAAAGAGGTATTTTGATTAAATTGTTACCTTTTCTTTGGGAGCGATGGTGAAGTTGAGGTTCTTGAGCACTGGAGGCTCATTGGGTCCGTATGACAAGAACACTCTATTGAAAGTGACCCGACCTTCGTCTGGCCAAGTGGCGGGCGGCTGCTTGTCTGTAACAAGTGAACAGCTGATAGAAAAAACAATAGTGAAATCAAAAGAGAATGGAACTGCATACTACAATTATGAACCGACTCAGAGAAAATGTTCTGCGTGTTCTTTTATTTCTTACTTAACTGAATAAGTAATTAAATACAGTTAATTAAATATTAACTGCAAAACAACATACATGTCATTGTTTAGTTTACATATAACAGAGATCGGGAGGAGAAAAAGGCTGTGGACTGAGGGTTAACCTTTTCACCCACAGTGTATTTGCAGATTGAATAGTGGTTTGGTGGTGTATACAATTTGAGCAAATTCAACTGATTGCCTACCAGGTGGAGATTCCAGTGGTGGTTCTTTCTCAATGTCAGTGTACTCCATGACTCTCTCTACGGATGTCATCTGGTTCTCGAGCTCTGCGGATTGTCTCATGCCCCACTGGAACATCCCTGTGAGGCCGATGGACTGTGTGATGGCCAAACCAACATTGCCTCCAAACGTCTCTGTGAACAGTGGCAGTTTACCATCAGTAACTTGGTTCAGAGCAGAATGGAGTTGGGAGTTATAAGAGGATGAACTTGTTTGTACGCCTTTAGAAGGTAATGTTTTAGACGAGTTGAAGATAAATTCCCACAAAAGAGGTTGAAAAATGTTTTTAAAGGGAAAAATATTTTACCTAAATGTGTTTAATTACCCTCACATAATTATAATATTCATAACATAATAATTGGCAAATTGCTAGTCACAGAGAAGTAAGATATAGAGGAAACATGCTTATGGGACGACCATGCACTTTCAGCTCTGATATGTTGTGCCGGATATATATTTGAGACGAGCAAGGAAGAGCCCCAACGTCGAGCACTGTCAGAAATCCTTTATTGTCCTTAAGCAAAACAATCATGCAATAGACATTGTCACATAGGATTACACAGTAACCCAGTCAGACTGGATTATAAATGTTTATATCACAGCAATAACAGGTAAAAATGTAAAAGTAAAAAGTAGGCTATACATGTCCTTTGTTATAGATTGGTGGTTACAGCTTTAACAATGTGATCATTTAGAAACTTGGACGTATGGATGACGTGTTTAGACATACACTTTAAACAGTAGGTCCACCTTTTAGAAATACATCAAATCCAGGGAAAAAAGAACCATTCAAATTGGATATTCCCCTACAAAAAATCCAAATGATAATTAACTAATGAATATCTACTTGTGTGCAAAAACAATATGCAAGTAAAATAAATTACCTGATCCCATGAAGAGGAAACTAAATGTCACCAATGCAATGTAGATGAGGCAAACTCCATCCAGCCAAAACCCAAACGCTCTACTTGATGCAATGAAGATATACCATGCTGAAGAATGGAGATCCTATGACAAAGAAACATCTGTTACAAAGTAAAAGTCAACAACATAATAGGAGGTGTAGAAGTGGCTTGGACTGAGTTAAATGAAACACTTAGTCAATTTTAAATGCCTGCCAAACATTATTTAAGTTTTTTTCCAAACAGCAAATGCAATTTGTTTGTGTGTTAGGGTGATGTTTGTTTATTAGTAAAAAGTATAAGTGTTATTAATAAACATGAAAAGTTTTATTTCGGTCATTGGTTTACCTCGCTTTTTACAAACCTAAATTGATGCAGTAATAAGTTTTCAATTGGATTCAATTGTACACCAACAAACTTTCAAAATAGATGTGCTTAGTGCTTTGGTGAACATTTATAAAATTGATCAGTGAAATGTTATGTTTTTCCTGGGATAGAAACAGTAAAACTTAAATTATTCCTTGACACATGTAAACATTTATTTAAATTTATTATAATTGCTAATCAATCAGGGGATTTGAAGGAAATCCAGCACTACTCTGTCATGGTTGGTGTAATAACTAGGTAATGTTGACTGTACACTGCCACACATCCTTGACAAGTTTGCAATCCCTTGACGTGGTTAAAGTTTCATGAAAAGTTTTTTACATCTCGACAAGTTTGCAGCAAGTTTTCATCATGTTTGCCCCAAGTTTACATCAAGTTTGTAGCAAGTTTTCATCATGTTTGCCCCAAGTTTACATCAATTTTTCATCAGGTTTGCCCCAAGTTTACAGCAAGTTTAAATCAAGTTTGCAGCAAGTGTACACTGTGAGTTACCTGGTGGTTGTCAAACTCCTTCTCCAGGATCTGTTGTGCGTGGAATGCTCTGATGGTGGTCAGGCCTTGCAGAGAAGCGTTCAGATGAGAGAACACAGGACTGCGAGCTACAACAAAGGAGCGAATACTATCTCTTCCACAACAATCACAAATCCAGAACATTACTGACGACTTTAATGTCACCAGTCTCATAATTATGTTAGTGACGAAGCTCTAACCGCAACTACAATGTAGCTGGATGGTCGGTGAAGCAATCGTACACAATGAGAATCTTAGCAAATTTCAGTAAAAGACAGCACCAACCAATTGTAATCATATGCGACCTATGGTCTGAATATTAATTCTTAAAACATATGAATGAAGGAGATTGTTAACAAAATTCAAGCATTATCGTGGAAAGAATGTTTCTTATACGTAGCTAAGCCAGAAGCGTAGTTGCAGATGTAGAATAATTACTTTAGGTGATGTAAAAGTTGAAAACCCTACCAATGCAAAGGTATGAGTACGGTTAAGTTAACAACATTAATTGTAGCTTCAAGAATTACGCTATTTTAGGGCTAACATTGTTTATTGAACACTTTTAATTAAATTTTTTTCCCAACTTTTTAAAGGTACAAAGGCGATTCAAATAACCCTTATCTACTATTTTTGTTAGTAATAAACACACCCTTAAAAGCTTTTTAAAATCCAAGGACAAATTTTGTAATCAGTAAAAAACTACAAGAAATGTATTCAATCTTATAAATTAAAAATTTATGTTGAATTTAACGGGAGTTTCATGCAGATTACTAAAGTAAAATTATTCAGCAATAAACTACAGTAAATCAAGATTAGGTGACTAAATTATAGACAAGCGGAGGTTACTGCTTACTGACTCCTTCCAAGCGTTTAACGCTGCGTGAGGTGGAGAGATAGAAGTTGCGCAGGAAGTAGAAGAGTATTCCGATGAACACGGTGGGAACCATGAGCCAATAGTTGACCAGGCCTACCACCACGATGATGCCTATCAGGCTCAGTCCAATCTGTCAACAGAAGAGTCGTCTAGTTCAAGAAACAAACCAACTCAAGTGCTTAAAGATGTAGAAACGTTTATTTAAAAAAAATGTTCAAACCATTACTTACTAGACTTTGCTTATGAATATATTAAGAAGAGATAGACACAAAACTAACTCTCCTAAGAAAAGAGTTTTAGGCATTCGATAGCACAGAAAAAGTAACAATAATCCTACTAATATTATAAATGAGAAAGTTTGGATGTATGTTTGTGACAAGTGAACGCGAAAAATACTGGTCGGATTGGGCTGAAATTTAGCATGATGATAGCTCACATTCCCGATTAACATATAGGCATATTCTTATTTCAAAAATCCTTTCGGGCTCCGCCCCAGTGGCTCTGGAGTTTCCCATGTCAACCTTATGAGAAATGGAATTATTGAATCTTAACAGCTGTTTCAATTAACAAGTTGGTTCTGTTCTATGATGTTCAATAGCATTAAAGTTACAAGGATTACCAACAGGGTGCAGCACTATTATTTCTTTTACATTTATGACAACAGCTAATTTGCAATCAAAAGGTGAGTGAGCGTAGCAAACGAGCTCCAACCTAAAGGTGAGTGAGCGTAGCGAACAAACTTCAACCAGGACGTGATTGAGCCATGCGAACGAGATAATCTTGAAAATTAAGAAGTTAAACGGGGCAAAGCCCGCGGGTTACAGCTAGTAATACATGATCTTGACAGTTTGCTAGAGTGATGGTAAAATTATTCATCTATGTGCCTTCAGAAAAAAGGCTTCATAACGTTTTCTTTTGAAGATACATCTAGATTATTTTAAGAAGATCTTTTAAAGAAACACTCTAGAAGGATATAATTATCAAGTTTAATGAATTGTTCACTTTTTTGCGTGTTATGACACGCCTAGCACTCTTTTTGTAGGCGAGTTAGTTCTATATTTGCGGTAATAAAGGTTTGTTTAAATCAAGTGACTCACCTGTAAGCAGTCTATAAGAGCGGCTGGCAGCTGTTCGTCAATTGACCCCATGTCCTTGGAGAATCTGTTGAGAATACGACCTAGGAAAATAAATTGCTGCATTTGACTTTTGGAATGAAAATAAAGATTCACATCAGAAGGCAAGCAAGGGTTTAATTCAATGTCAAAATTCATAAGTTGCCAGAATAGTATCATTAGCAAGGGAAAGAGTGATGCAATAGGGGAAAAATAGGACTAAATGTCAAAGAAATGTGTCAAAATGTTTCTATAATTAAATCACCACCATGAATTTAGAACATTCCTCCCAACCAAGATTAAGGTTTTTAGTTAGAGCACTTACCAGAGGAGTTAGTGTTGAAGAAGTGCATTGTGGCGCGAGTGATGGAGTTGAACATGGTGTCATGCAGACGACGGGACGCTCGCATACACAGGTAGAAGAAGAGATAAGAGCGGAACAACGTGACGATCACAGTAGCTGCAGTTATGGCGGAGAACACATATACACACATATCTCTAGTGAGCGGCAGACCTGCAAAGTGTACAGCTGTGGTCAGAATATATCCTACCACAACAGTCTAACAAATTAAGGGATAGTATACCCAAAACCGGTATCTCATTATTTTACACATTCAATAATTGAATACAACTCAATCGTGAATGCACTCAAAGCTCAATAATAGGTTGAGTATAATGTCTTTATGATAAATAAGCCCCCCTTGACCGGCACATTTGGCAAAATTTAAGGGATAACAAGTCTTAATTAATTGTCAGTGATAAGTGTTAGTGTTATTATGTCATGAACTACCGTACTCTGAATTAAAATACAATACTCCAGAATAAATATTCGGTTGTATTTTTTTTTTGTTTTTTTTTGTTTTACATCACTATTAAATAATTCACAAAAGAACATAAAAATTTACCTGATTCCTATTAATGGGTTTTCTTCTTGCTCTTTATTTTAGCTGTCAGTCTGTATTATCCTCACAATAGGGGTTGTTTAAGGACGTTGATGATTAATCTGACATGTTTGATGACTAGGCAACAGCCAAGGTATCGATTGTGACATGTTATGTATCTGTGTAGTTGAGCCACTAATCAGAATCAGAGGGTTGCCAGTTCAATGTTAGGGAAAGTCAGTAGCTTTTTGATGGTCCTAAACTGGACCCAGCTGTCCCAAAGTAAATACAGTAAATGGTAAGAAATAACTGGCCTTGGTGAGGAACAAAGCAATTCTTCCCTTATCATGCAGCAGAGGGGATAAGATTAAAGTATACAACCAAGTTACCGTTACTGTCTCAACGACTTGATTTGTGTAGTTTTTATAAAAAAAAATTTCTGTTTGTTTTCAAAAGAACAAAACTTTAGAGATTAAATAACCAAGTTTCCAACATACTCAAGAGTGTGGTCTCTGTAGTGTTGGTAGCAGTGCTTGGCAGCATTGTCGTAGTCGTAAAGCTGGCGTTGGTAACCTGTAGAAGGGGTTGGGCTAGAGACTGCTGTAGTGGCTGGGCAATGGATGAGGCACTCTCAGACTTAACGTATCCGTACTCTTCCAAGTTAACCCTGTACAAATCAACCAAAAAATAAACTTTTTTTTATTTATTTAAGGACAGTGGCTATTTTTTAATTGGGGAGAAGGTCCTAAGCCCTTGTCTTTTTACTATCTGAAGACAACTTGTTTAAGTCATGATTAAATGTCGCCTGGGGTAACAAGGACTGCCAAGCCTAAAATCCAAAAGATAGAGGAAGATCTGTTAACTACCTACACAATTCTTACATATTTTTTTTTCGTCCTAGGACGCTAGGCACGAGCCTGGGATTGTTTTTCAAATTACTTCAGGCTAGACCTAGGGGTTGCGGCATTATCACTTGGATAAAATCCATTGGTGACTTGGCGGGGATCGAACCCTGGACCTCAGGGACTGAAGTCCCACGCTCTAACCACTACGCCATCTCGCTTCCCACAATTCTTACATAGTTACATTACACTTATTCTTATACTTACCAATATGTGATCCAGTAATCTCCACCACTGGCTAACAGCTGAGTCAATACAGCAGTTGCCAGAAAGAACATGAGCATACAACAGTTGCCTCCTGACTTCATGTAGGTCTTGTATACTCTGCCACTGACTGTACCCTTGGACCTCATCTCTGCTATCTCAGGAGGCTCATCCTGTATCTTGCCATCCTCCATGGAAGAGGCCACACTCCTGACTGACTGTAACATCACCACAACAACATGAGCATACAACAGTTGCCTCCTGACATCATGTAGGTCTTGTATACTCTGCCACTGACTGTACCCTTGGACCTCATCTCTGCTATCTCAGGAGGCTCATCCTGTATCTTGCCATCCTCCATGGAAGAGGCTACACTCCTCACTGACTGTAGCATCACACAACAACATGAGCATACAACAGTTGCCTCCTGACTTCATGTAGGTCTTGTATACTCTGCACTGACTGTACCCTTGGACCTCATCTCTGCTATCTCAGGAGGCTCATCCTGTATCTTGCCATCCTCCATGGAAGAGGCTACACTCCTCACTGACTGTAACATCACACAACAACATGAGCATACAACAGTTGCCTCCTGACTTCATGTAGGTCTTGTATACTCTGCCACTGACTGTACCCTTGTACCTCATCTCTGCTATCTCAGGAGGCTCATCCTGTATCTTGCCATCCTCCATGGAAGAGGCCACACTCCTCACTGACTGTAACATCACTACAACAACATGAGCATACAACAGTTGCCTCCTGACTTCATGTAGGTCTTGTATACTCTGCCACTGACTGTACCCTTGGACCTCATCTCTGCTATCTCAGGAGGCTCATCCTGTATCTTGCCATCCTCCATGGAAGAGGCTACACTCCTCACTGACTGTAACATCACACAACAACATGAGCATACAACAGTTGCCTCCTGACTTCATGTAGGTCTTGTATACTCTGCCACTGACTGTACCCTTGTACCTCATCTCTGCTATCTCAGGAGGCTCATCCTGTATCTTGCCATCCTCCATGGAAGAGGCCACACTCCTCACTGACTGTAACATCATCACAACAATATGAGCATACAACAGTTGCCTCCTGACTTCATGTAGGTCTTGTATACTCTGCCACTGACTGTACCCTTGTACCTCATCTCTGCTATCTCAGGAGGCTCATCCTGTATCTTGCCATCCTCCATGGAAGAGGCCACACTCCTGACTGACTGTAACATCACTACAACAACATGAGCATACAACAGTTGCCTCCTGACTTCATGTAGGTCTTGTATACTCTGCCACTGACTGTACCCTTGGACCTCATCTCTGCTATCTCAGGAGGCTCGGCCTGTATCTTGGCCATCCTCCATGGAAGAGGCTACACTCCTCACTGACTGTAACATCGCCACAACATATTCTTTGTTGAATTTTTTGTTATAGTTAGTGTAATTCTGAGAGTAGTACAAAAATTTTCTATCACAATCAGTAAAAAAGTCTCAATCTGAAATCAGATCCCTCCGTGTGCCATTTCAGATTTTCTTCGCCATCACTTCCACTATTCGTTGGCCGGACATGTTAGTGTGATTTCCCAGCTTTGGCTGTATATTTGTACTAAGCTTGTTATGTTTTATTCAACTTCACAAAACAATTTACTAGATGCATTTCCAGTTGTAGTACTTACACGAGCATTGAGTAAATCAATGTACGAGGTCAACCCTTCAGAAGCCAAGGGGATGTGATAGGAGGATGTGGTGGGGAGAGGTTCGATAACAACAAGGGTTGGAGGGGGAGGAAGGGAACTGGAGGGTTCTCTGTGGGTTGGATCTGAATCATCACCATTCTCATCCTGGCTGGAAGTACAGGCACTACAGTCTACGGCGAGGGTTTAAATTGTAACCAGTAAAAAATACTAGATAATCAGACTTAATAGTTAAGATGGTGTCAAATAATTACAACTCAAGACATGACATCATAGACAAAAATAAGGGTGAGTGAAGCCCATAAATAATCTTCCTAAACAAACAACTTAAGTTAAAAGCTTAGGTGTCCCAGCAAATTCTGGACATCAGGTGGCAAAATTCCTGGTCGTTAAACTGAAAGGAGTTATAAAATATTGCGTTTTTAAATTAAGTCAACTATATTATAGTATATTCACTGATAGAAACATGTGATGTGTAAATATTTCATAGATGAATTGACATAGAGAGAGAATCTACAGGTTTAACTTCAGCAACCAATAGTTTGCAACGATTGTTGGATAGAAATAACTTGTACAAATAGCTAAGAGCAAATGTGTAAATGAGTGAAACAAATTAAATACATTTATAAGCAAATGAGAACATTGTAACCCAGGGAAGAATTTTAGAGTATTTAAAATAGCTAATATTAATCAGATGCTAAGCCTATTCAACACATGTCAAAAATATTACCTGGATGGAAGCATGCCGTTTGTACAGGTTTCTGTTTTGATTGCCCTCTTCATTAGCTTCTTCTTCTGAATTGCTTAATCTCAGGAACTCCAAATTCCTTCCTTGCAGCTCCTGGTAGGTTCCCTCGCTGTCTATGCTTCCCTGCAATGCAACAATCAAACCATATTTAACCATTTTTTACATAGCCTACATTTGCTTTTACTTATCATTCTAAGAAAACATTGGCAATCGAAACACACAGTAGTCAACGGTCGTAATTTATGCATTTTCATATTGAATCCAGCAAGTCTTAACCAATACAGCTAGGGTAGGTAAATAGCAGCTAGGACAGTAAATTTTGATTCCTTCATATAATTTAAATTAAATCAGCAAAATGTAAAACATTACAGTTAGTTATCAACAATGTCATTGACTTTGTAAGCAACAAGAGCCATCATTGACTACCTAAACAAAGCGTAAGATTAAAGTTAACGATACGACACAATTATGATCCTTACAAATGAATAGCTACTGAATTATTTAATTTTCAAACAGGGACTTGATATTCTGGACATAACAAGGCAACATTTACCTACGTTATACGTAAATTCCATACTATATACTTACATTATTCATCACAACTACGTGATCGACCAAGCCCAGGTACTGGATTTGATGCGTGATCAAAATTACTGTCTTCTTCCTCAAGTAGCCTGTAAAAATATAAAAGCATTTCTATCCCATTCAACAACACATTAGCCTACATACTTCAAACAGTTCATCAAACACAGTAACTAAGTGGTGTTGTCTTGAGGTTAAAAGCCAAGAATAATAATTTTGTGACTCGTGACTTGGCCATGTAACACTGTTTCAGTATTTCTATTTCTTTAGACCACCCCACAAGCAGGTAGGTCTAAGGTGGTAATTTAAGTAAAAAAAAACTTTAAGCACTGAAGAAAAGTAGCATACTTGCTGTAAAGTAGAAAAATGTCGTTCACATAGAACACAGACTAAATTGTATATTAATTACATTAAACTGTTCAAATATATACTATGAAAAAAATTGTTTTTTCACCTGTGACACAATCTTCAAACAGATGTTTCCCTACATGAGTGTCCACGGCTGACAGAGGGTCGTCTAGTAGATACACATCTGCATCCTTGTACACAGCCCTGCGAATCATACTCAGGGTTACTTTCAAATGGTGATGCGGCAAGCTAACTTAGGCGAGCAGAGGATAATATTATCAATGGGTCTTAGAGCCTGGTTTTTTTAAGAAGGGTAGGAGTAAAATATAATTAATTTCATGATGGTGTAATAAAACTCACTAGTCTAAAAAGTAAACTGATGTTTTAAGGACAGCTAGAATCACTGGGTCTGTCGTTTTAACCGTACTGCTTGATGAATGTAGAGTTGAGTACAAGAAGATACTGACCTGGCCAAGTTGATGCGAGCTCGTTGTCCTCCGCTGAGTGACACCCCTCTCTCTCCTACAATGGTCTTGTCTCCGTACGGGAACTGTTCAAAATCAGCCTTCAGAGCACACACTCGCACCACCTGACGATACCTGTGACAAGACAACAAAATTCTCATCTACAGTAAGTCCATGATTTCCTATATATGTTTAAACTTACACTAAAAAAAGCACTTAAGCACTAAGGCCATACTTAACAACGATATTGTAGTCTTGTGCGTAAACCTAAAACTATAAATTTATAGACAACAGGACTGTAGCCCATCTATCGTCTTTCAATTTTTTCAGTAACTACACTGCAACCTGATCAACACGCCTGATGAACACACAACGCAGAGAGGTTTAGAATAGCTGTGGAAGTAAAAAAATTAAATTAAAACTATAAAAATAAAACTAGTGTACAAACATTCATAATCTCACTAGACAAACGATCTTCTAGTGTTTGAATGTATTTTCAGTATCCTCTAGTTTAACCCCATTTATAGTTATAGAAAAAATCTACAATTCAACAGCCATGAATGCCGATAAGTTAATAATAGCTAAGTTAGGATTTTCCTAAAAACATAATAGCTAAGTTAATAATAAAAGTAATAGCTTTACAAAAAGACAACTCACCTTTCTCTATCGTAGGGTGAGCCAAACAATATATTCTGACGGACGCTACCAGCAAACAGCCACGGTTCTTGACTGGCGTAGGACACATTCTCTGGTATAGATACACTCCCTGTCTTGAGAGGCAGTTCTCCCAACAACGCATGCAGCAGTGACGTCTGCAACCCACCACTGACTGCTTAGGTTTCAATACATTCAACAGACCAAGTGATACACCACACTAGGTCTACAATCAACATGTCTAGGACACATTCTCTGGTATAGACACACTCCCTGTCTTGAGAGGCAGTTCTCCCAACAACGCATGCAGCAGTGACGTCTGCAACCCACCACTGACTGCTTAGGTGTCAATACATTCAACAGACCAAGTGAGACACCACACTAGATCTACAATCAACATGTCTAGGACACATTCTCTGGTATAGACACACTCCCTGTCTTGAGAGGCAGTTCTCCCAACAACGCATGCAGCAGTGACGTCTGCAACCCACCACTGACTGCTTAGGTTTCAATACATTCAACAGACCAAGTGATACACCACACTAGGTCTACAATCAACATGTCTAGGACACATTCTCTGGTATAGACACACTCCCTGTCTTGAGAGGCAGTTCTCCCAACAACGCATGCAGCAGTGACGTCTGCAACCCACCACTGACTGCTTAGGTGTCAATACATTCAACAGACCAAGTGAGACACCACACTAGATCTACAATCAACATGTCTAGGACACATTCTCTGGTATAGACACACTCCCTGTCTTGAGAGGCAGTTCTCCCAACAACGCATGCAGCAGTGACGTCTGCAACCCACCACTGACTGCTTAGGTTTCAATACATTCAACAGACCAAGTGATACACCACACTAGGTCTACAATCAACATGTCTAGGACACATTCTCTGGTATAGACACACTCCCTGTCTTGAGAGGCAGTTCTCCCAACAACGCATGCAGCAGTGATGTCTGCAACCCACCACTGACTGCTTAGGTTTCAATACATTCAACAGACCAAGTGAGACACCACACTAGGTCTACAATCAACATGTCTAGGACACATTCTCTGGTATAGACACACTCCCTGTCTTGAGAGGCAGTTCTCCCAACAACGCATGCAGCAGTGACGTCTGCAACCCACCACTGACTGCTTAGGTGTCAATACATTCAACAGACCAAGTGAGACACCACACTAGATCTACAATCAACATGTCTAGGACACATTCTCTGGTATAGACACACTCCCTGTCTTGAGAGGCAGTTCTCCCAACAACGCATGCAGCAGTGACGTCTGCAACCCACCACTGACTGCTTAGGTTTCAATACATTCAACAGACCAAGTGATACACCACACTAGGTCTACAATCAACATGTCTAGGACACATTCTCTGGTATAGACACACTCCCTGTCTTGAGAGGCAGTTCTCCCAACAACGCATGCAGCAGTGATGTCTGCAACCCACCACTGACTGCTTAGGTTTCAATACATTCAACAGACCAAGTGAGACACCACACTAGGTCTACAATCAACATGTCTAGGACACATTCTCTGGTATAGACACACTCCCTGTCTTGAGAGGCAGTTCTCCCAACAACGCATGCAGCAGTGACGTCTGCAACCCACCACTGACTGCTTAGGTGTCAATACATTCAACAGACCAAGTGAGACACCACACTAGATCTACAATCAACATGTCTAGGACACGTTCTCTGGTATAGACACACTCCCTGTCTTGAGAGGCAGTTCTCCCAACAACGCATGCAGCAGTGACGTCTGCAACCCACCACTGACTGCTTAGGTTTCAATACATTCAACAGACCAAGTGATACACCACACTAGGTCTACAATCAACATGTCTAGGACACGTTCTCTGGTATAGACACACTCCCTGTCTTGAGAGGCAGTTCTCCCAACAACGCATGCAGCAGTGACGTCTGCAACCCACCACTGACTGCTTAGGTTTCAATACATTCAACAGACCAAGTGAGACACCACACTAGATCTACAATCAACATGTCTAGGACACGTTCTCTGGTATAGACACACTCCCTGTCTTGAGAGGCAGTTCTCCCAACAACGCATGCAGCAGTGACGTCTGCAACCCACCACTGACTGCTTAGGTTTCAATACATTCAACAGACCAAGTGAGACACCAAACTAGGTCTACTATTGATTTGGTTTAGCACAAATATTTACGCTTTTATTTTGTTTGTCTATAACCTACAATATTGCAATATTTCATTTTGTAAGTGGAATTACCCATACTATTTTGCCGGAAGCATTTCGAAACATGTTCACCGTCGCCTGTATTTCATTGTTATTTTAAAATTGGATCATGTTACCAAAAAGCTTCATAAATGCATGGCTCTTATGACAGACGAAGGATATACGAAGAATATACACACTTTGCAACATTTAAATGCAAGTGACAGGTTCAGTTGTACCAACACCAACACCAGTTAGCAATACCTTGCCGCTGCCCACAGGCCCGATGATGGCCGTGAGTTTCCCAGGAACAACTCGCAGATTGATGTGGCTCAAACTGTCGTCTGCAACCTCAGGAGTCCATCGTGCCGTCGCGTTGGTCACAGTGATACCCTCGTCTGCCGCCACCTTTGTCCTTGCGTCCTCTCTGGGCGCTCGGAATATTGGCTCCACTTCTTCGTCCTTCTCTGACTTTGTCCCGTTGGCCTTCATAATCTCTGGAGCTTGCTGTAGAGTGGTCTCGTCGTAGTTGAGGAATGTCTGTTGAAAAGTATATTTGAATAAAAACTGGTTTCAATAACAAGTAGTTTAATCAGATTTATATATGACTAAGATATTTGTATAAGACAACATTCATTCGCATCTGAAAGTTGTAACCTGTTTTGGACTTAAAATCAATGAACTTTAATTGGGCCACCGACATCGTGTGCTGATGTAAATTAAGAATTACAGTTGAATACTCCAACTGTTTAACCAAGCCAAACTGATTGGAAAACTTAATGTAATGTAAACTATAGTATATTTTATGTCACATCAAGTAACACAATAACAAAAATAAATGGGGAAAATTTACTTTTAGATGTTACCACACATTGTGAATAGCTCATCAAACTATGTTTTAAACTTTTTGATGGCTTTATCTGTTCCATATAGATGAGATGTCTACTTCATTATCCAAGAGCCAGCTTCTATAAAAATCTATTGATCATTTCACTTTAGGATATGAAAACTATAGGAAATATGGACCTTTTGAGCAATTTTCCCTCATTCAATTTTTAACTTGTTCTAGTATCTTTCGTCTTTTCTGAAAACATTTTAGAGAATCTACACTGGTGAAAGGAGAGTTTGAATTACCTGGAGTCGTTTGATAGAGATGAGTACTTCTGCTACTTGTCCGATACCTTGAGGGAAGAACACTGTCATGGTCTGTCTCAATACATTGAAGTATGAAGTGACAACAAAAACCTGCAATTAGAGAATATAAACATTAGTTTGCAAACTACTGACACATGGTGGTTATGGTTTTTGCAATCAACTGAAATGAATCCAACAATATCGTTTGTTAAACTCTAAGAAAACTAAATAAGTGATTTTAAAAACCCCATAATAATTTAAAGACATTGAATAAGAGTTAAAAAGAATAATCATTTAAATACCATATTTAAAAATATTACAAAGAGGCACATCCAAATCTATCATCAAATATAACCTGGATCCCTGGATGATATTCCGCTTAGTAATTTATTGTAAACTCAAATTAAGGTAAAAGAAATTAAAAGAGACAAAAGACCAATAACAATCATTGTCATGATTTGGTGTGGCTGCACAGATAAAGTACACTTGCCTTTTCAGCGTTGATGGCGTTGCCCATTAGAATGTAAACGAAAATACTGACAAAGATGGCGACTCTGGAGTGGAAGATGATGAAAGAAAGCAGAAGTCCTCTGATGTACGAGGCTCCTCTAATCTCTTTGATTTCTCGCCTGATAACATTCAAGAATTAGTCAACATTTGAAAGAATCAAGAGAAGATCTAGTTAAACCTAAAAACTAAAACAACCGTAGCAAAAAATCATAGAAGAATTCAAATGTAAACCTGTGATTATAAAACATTTATAATTCATTGTTGTTGGGTATGAAGACTACTTTCTTTCCTTAGAACTTCATCGGGTCATTTTGTATTGTAAATGGGTACAAACCTCAAATGATTAGTTCCATAATACAAAAGAATACAGCAATCCAGTTATGCCGAACATTCAATATCAGTATTGCACAACTACACTATAAGAACTATACATAATAAGAACATGAATATAGTTAAAGTATTAACAAAGAGTTTGATGTTAAAGAAGAATTCACCACCTACAGAGCTAAAAAACTCGACACATGTAACATTTTTAATGAACAGTCATGTTTTCAGTTAAATATTATTTTAATACATATATTGACAAGTAACAAATAAAAGAAGTATAATATAAGAATAACAAAAAAACTGAAATACAGGTGGCACTGGGAAGAAGAAGAGAAATCATGATTCAGTCAGTTTTATTTAGTCAGTGGCAGTGATAGACAGTGCTGACCAGTATGTACAGTTTTTATCAGTTTAAGCAATTTTATTTCATTTATCAATATGGTAAGTCTTATATTGTTATTGTGACATTTTTTTTTTAGAATCTATTGACATAACACAATGTATTATTACCTACATTGATAATGTGGCTGCACTCAAAATTACCAGATGAAGTTCTAAGGAACAGAACTAGTCATCATACCAACAACTGTGGTTGATAAGGTAAGTTAATCATTTTATTTTATCAGTATAATAATGTTTATTAGTAAAAAACTAGATGGCTAATGGTTGATCTATATGAAAAAGAAATCAAAAATGTTAAATATGTTTTACTAATGAACAAATCCAAAATGTTTACTGTGTAAATTAATTTAGACCAATGATAAATTGCTATAGATAGAACCTTTACTATAGACAAAAATAATTAAATACAGACCGTCAGACGTGCTGTGGTTACCATAGGTTCTGGCGCACACCGCTTGGAGCGCCATGTAGTTACGGGTACACACTACATGGCGCTCCCAGTGGTGTACGCCAGAACCTATGGTAACCGCAGCACAGCTGACAGTCTATATTTGATTCTTTTTGTCTATGCCTATACACACTTCACAAGCAAAATAGTTGTGCAATTTTGAAACTATATTGATGATCTACACTGCTGCAATGATCTTCAAACACGGTACTTGGTAACCTAACACTTGACACTTTGACAAACTCAGTCAAACTTTGACAATCTGAGAATAAAAATCATAGGCCTGTACGATTGTAACAAGTAGTTTTGCACCTTTCTAGTTTTAATGTTGAGTCCTAACCGTGAGTTATAAAGTGTATGGCTTCATACATTAATATTCCCCTAAACATTTATGTTTTCCAACAGCAACAAATATTAATTAACCCTGTATAGACACTATAACTGATTGACTCACTTCCTAGCCTGTGAGACAAGGTAGGCGAAGGGTTTCTCCCAAGTGTACATCTTGATGACTTGTATTCCTGAGATGATCTCATTCATCAGTCTGACTCTCTCGTCAGTCCGCAGAGCTGTTCTCATCCTCAGCCCTGACGTCATCTTGCCCAGCCATGCTGCGGAATATAAGTAGGTAGGTTAAAAGAATCATCATCATTAACTTCATTTTTGAAACAGTAACGTCTCCTGCCTATTATAAACTGGATAAGAATGTAAAATGAGTGTAGAATGGAATATTTAAGTATGAACTTTTATTAGGAAAACATTTATTTAGGATCCCTATGATCACAAGGACAGCTTAGCCAAAGTTTCAAAATGTGCCCACTCGACTCACCACACACGACATGAAATGAAATTGATAAATCTTTTTAACAACAACTACAATCTTATGAGAAGTACTATCTTTTACAACACATCAAATATCTCTGTAACAAATACTAGGGGGAGAAATACAGATTTAGACTCTAGCTCTCAGTGAGTTCATTCAACTACACAATACTACAAGTAAATTAACATACCTTGCAGAGGTATTAGAGCAAGCAGCACACATACACCGAAGACTGACGCAGGTCCTACAAAGTTCCATAGGAAGTACAGCACAACGATCGTCTCTAGCGGACCGACCCACAGAAAGTGTACGAAGATGGTGCATATGTCAAACCTGGAGACGTCGTTGGACAATAGGTTGACCACTTGACCTACAGTGGTCTGTCCTAGGGCTGTCTTACTGAGTCTCAGGGCCTGGAAACATAATTATAAGTGATTGAGTAGATGATTGGTTATAGGGCTTGCCTTCAAATCCGAGGGTTACTAATTGATTTTGACCACGACGATTCTGAGAACCTAGATGACATTTATCATTGGGATATCAATTGATGATACTGTTCAACAAAAGTTCAACATTCAAGTTCCCCCCAAAATATGTAAGAAAATGCCAAAAATATTATCTAAGTTTTCTTAACAAAATTGTAGCATCCTGGATAAATGATTTTTATGCACTAAAAACAATTAAAGGATATAAGTTTTAATTTCTCAGTTTATATTGACTATCAATTTATATAGGTATGTAGACGTTTCGTCTATCAACGTTTCAGCAGTAGGTAGTTTTTCACACAAAGAGGATACAAACACTGATGAATTATCTAAATAGTTTTAAATTAGTTGTCATCCGTACCAAATTGTAACATTCAACGTAATGAATTATCCTCTCATAGATAGCTGATGAGAACATAAAAGATGTTACAGTGTGCAATAATTTGCTCTTTCAGTTATGGCATGGTTAAAAATTTTGTATAAGATATAAAAACCATAAGCTAAAGCAACACCTGTTGTTTCATCAGTATTTTGATACTAAATTACTGAATTTACTGGCAACAACTTTAACATGAAAACTGTACATTTACTTTACAGTAGAGTATATTCAATCAAAAGTATCACATAAAATACTAAATAAAAGTTCATATTAAATCAAAGTGTAATATTTTTCTTTTAGACAAAATGATTTGAAAAAACCTCACTCATACAACAATATTTCCGAAACTAAAGAATTAAGCATAAAACAAACTATTTAAACTTTACCTTCCTGTATATGAGCGAGCAGCAGGCGACTCTTATCTTCATGCCTATGTGCATGATGCCGAGCATGTACGGATGCATGATGAACACGCTGAGTGCTGAACACATGACGACTCCTCCAGCGTAGAAGTACGCTTCATCCTTGCTCACAGTGCCACCTCCATCTCGGGTGAAGTACTCTATCAGCTTGCCGAGGAATAATGGCTGGGATACCCTGCGATAGAAGGAAACAATTAGGTCAACTTGATGAAAAGTTCCTGATTATAACTTATAATTGTCAAATACTTCAAACTCTCTCCTGGGGGTTTACCCTTCCTCAGTTAATCAATTTACAACTATGATTTCATTCATCAAATACAAAAAATGTTCAGCTTGCGAGTTTGCAACATTAAAAAATTCTAACCCAAAGCTCTGTAATTGTACGTTGTAAAGCTTTATTTTACTTAATTTACTTCGGCATCACCTAGGACTTTTTCTGGACTATTTATTACCTCCTAAAACCATACTAAACAAGTATATCTATCTTATTCGTTGACTATACAAGTGTAATACTTCTCCATATAATTACCAAAAGGTATTTGTTGTTGACAAGACACTGCTATTAGTCTAGAGCTCATTGTTTGATATTTTTAGCACCAAAATTATCATCTACACAAACAAATCTTTAATACTTTTTCTCTGAGGGATAATCTAAACAAAGCATAAGAGACTTGTTTGATCTCTTGTCTATTAGTTAATTAGGTGAAAACCAGCAAATCTTGACTGGTCAAAGGTGGCCACTAAATGGAAGAGTTAACATAAAAACGTTGAATAATTGAATAAAAACATAACAATGTGTAACGAGTGACCTTGGCCTTTGTTATCATTTTTACAAGAATATTGCTGCATTATTCACTGTGTTATCATCTCTCAGCTGATTACTTTAGTTCTAATGACATGACCTTGGCCTGCATTGTATTGTTACTTTAAATACCCATTACTGACCCATATTCACAGGGTAAAGTTTAGTAGCCTAAATTTAATGGGCACACGAGTGCTTAACACATTGAATTGAAAAAAATGTGTAATAAACAGCAGCTGGGTAGTTGAGTGGTTTAGTGCTCTCCTAATAATCAATAGATCTCCAGTCCAATCCTTGGAAATGTCAGTTGCTTTTTGATGGTTCGAAACATGAACCTACTGTATTGGAACAATGGGCTTTCAATGAATGATCCTGACTAATGAAAAAGTTGATCTTAGTCGTATGACAACAAAGTTTTAAGGACAATTTTTAATTTTATGTTAAAATTTAGGGTAAATAACCTATACAAATCCAAGGTTAATATACTATAAAAATCCACTAACATATAAAAAAAACTAATTGCGCAATGGTAGGTATTGAGGTTTTAACAGATAATTTGCAAAGGGTAGAAAATCGTTGGATCGTTTCATTAGGAAAATAAATAAAAATTCCGATTGCCTTAAGCAGACAAAATTTCTCTAAAGAGCATTTTACCTGAAGACATTCTCGACTATAGCCAAGACAAGTCCATAAGCCATCAGTTTGGGTCCGAATATTCTGAGCAGAACTCTCAACAAACTGGGCTCTCTCTTCTTTATAGCGGCTCTCTTGCACTCTTCCCTCCATTTCCTGCAAATCAAATGTAATATTCGTTTATTTTATACATCAGTTAAAACCAGTCTGCGCACAGAATAATTTAATGGGTTCTCTTAGGCATAACCTCATTGGCGAATGGCTCATTGAAGTGAGTTATTGTTTATAAAAAAAATTGGCTACATATGGTCAACTATGGTTGGCTACAGTAAGCAAAATTCAACGCGTGAGCCTACCTTGAGCAAGGTGCCTACTTACTTCTCTATTCTGTCTCCGAGTACGTTGGAAGTGTGTTCCTTGAGGGGAACGTAGAGATCTTCAACTTCCAGGTCTCTTCTGTTACCTTCTCGGAACAGACCCAGCGTCCATCTGAAACAAGACGCAAACGTTGAACTGAAATGAACTGGGCTAAATAATACCAGCATTACAATTTATTATCCTCAACAGCACAATAACTTTGACTAATAGAATACTTAGAGCCGCAGCTGTGTTTAGTTGACTTTCTAACAATGTCTAAATAAACCGAATGCAAAACTTTGAATTTTTATTTTAAAAATTTTTTAAACTAATGATGGAACTGGAACCAATTACTGAGCGTTCAGGTGAAATGGGTCACTTGAGAAAGGAGATAAGACGAACAAACAAAGAGTCAAGTTTAACATTTATGGCTGAAAACAACACTGTTGTAATCGTTCAATCATATTTTGTTGATATACCAAATGTAGTAAGGTTATAAAAGGTCTATTTACTTTCATATGTTAGATAAGACCTCAACAAATTTCTTATAACTTTTGGGTGGGAGGGGGCTGAGTTGTTAGCACACCATTTAACATAATGTCTTAATCCAGTTTGTTAACATAAAATGTAAAATAATAGAATAATCTAACATGGAAACCGTGACTCAACCCTTCAAAAATACCTTAACCTCTATGACAGGTAAACTTACCCTTGACCTTCATGTCATGTTTTGAGTTACTGTTTGCCATCATGTTAGTGACACACACACCCAGAAAAACGCCATGATGGTGTTGGGTTTCTCTCTATGTTTACCATCACGGTTAGAGGGACAAAGTCACCACCCATAAAGATAACACGATTCTGTCAGTTCATATTTTTTATTTTGCACTAAAATACATCATGACAAGCATCATGAAAACTGAACTGATCGTGTTTATGATTTTCTTTGACCTCCAATCTTCTAGAACCCGCTAATAAATATTTACTTGTGACATCTTAATTCAAATTGCTTTGGGGTTCTGGCTCTGATATAAAAAATAACATTGAATTAAAATTCAAGCCCTGTCTACATAGGTAAACCAGGCATGAACAAGATCAAAAGATATTTGGGGTAAAATGTTGGTGATAACAGCTCACTGATATCAGCTACCATGACTAAGGAGATAAGTGTTATTTTAAGACCACACCATGTATAATCAGTCTTTAGATAACACGAATGAGTTCAATATCTGTTTGACAACTTTGCTACATCCATGAATGATAAGGGAATATTCACAGCTGTTAACATCATCAGCCAGCTTGATGTAGATGATCATTAGATTCCTGTTTAGCGAAAGGGAATAAGCTATTGCCATTGGTATCATTACAAGACCTAGTCCCAGGACACATTGCAATTAATTTTCTTTGAATATAAAATAAATCTGACAATTTAATGGAATATTTTAGTGAAAATTCAATATGTAATTAAGTGAAGTATTAACGAGTTCATTATTAGTCTATCTACAAAAAACAACTTTACAATAGTCCAAGAAGAGACGGTAAAATTTAAATTTACCATAACAAAAAGGGCAGTTTAAATATGCAGCAAATGTGTATACTTCTGCTAGTGTAAGAATGTAATCTTCAAACAATATCTTTAACAGTGGCTATGTCGTTGTACCAAAAAAGAGAGACTATAAAAGAGATAACATAAAATAGGGACTCTGACGGACTATAAAAAGAGGAACTGCAAACGATAAATTATATGAGAAACCCATTAAGAGTTTTATGTAGGCTAGGTAATAAAAAAATGAACTAACGCATAGTTTCACCACGAATGTAAGCTGGTATGTCGCCTTCGAAGTTTTTTTTATCAGTTTACGTAATTCTAAAATTTCTAATTCGAGCCACTATTGACTGAAGAGGCGTCTAGAATCTCACGTTGCTTACAACGTGCTGAGGCGCGGGAGGGGCGTTGTCAAAAATCTCCTTATCTAAAATATATATCTTTGGGATACAAATGTTTAAAAAAACATTAAAGTACTTTTTGTCAATTATATAATATACACACACAATAACCCTCATCAACCAGTGACTAGTTCAAAATTACGTAAGCGAATCTACGGGATAAAATGGTACAGTAATTCTAAAATATTCCAATAATTCCTACAGATCATGAATAAAATAACATTTTAGGGTAAAAAAGTAACACTCTCCCATGTACTAGGACTAATAAAGTACACATCAAAATGTCCTTACCTAAAAAGCAGTTTTATGTAATATATGAACAAATTTATTTCCCTGCTGCAAGCGCCGACAAAATCGTAAACAGGGGCGAAAACAGACATCAACAGCAAGGGTAGATACACCAACGGTATCCGTCGGAGATCGAAAATCAACATAACCATGGTAAATTGCACCCAAAATGAACTGGTAAAAAAGCTCTAGCATAAACGTATCAAACCAACACTGTCGGACGTGTTTTAAACACAGGGCCGGAACAAGGGGGGGGCAGAGGGGGCGGTTGCCCCGGGCGGCAGGATTGAGGGGCGGCAGGGTTGAGGGGCGGCAAATTTCTGGTTGCAGTAAATTTGTTTAATACAGTTTGTAAAAAGTTTTTAATGAGCCGAACGTCATAAGGAACGTCAATTAAGTAATTTCAAAACTGCATAACGTAATAAACAAACAATAATTTTACAATAGAAATCAATATAAATTGCAACGGAGTAGAAAATACTGAGAGCCCTAATAGCATATAGTCCAGTCAAGGAATGAGGTGTAGAGTGCGTGAGCAGGTAACTAAGCGATTCCTTCAGAAACTTGTTCAGGGGGCTTAGGGTGTTAACATACCAAAAGTCCTGACTCCTAGGTGGTGAGCCAGGGGGTGGAGGGGGGGAAAAGGGGGGGGGAAAGGTACGCATTTTGGGTTTTTTGATTATATCTCGAAAACTATCAACTTTTTGTATACTATAGTAAATTATAAAATTGAAGAAGATTAAATTTTCTACAAGAAAAGTATATAATGTGTTTATTTTGGTTCAACAGATTACGAGTTATAACTTATTTAATTGATATCTTATTAAAATCTCCTTCCATAAGAAATACATGTAAATTAGTATGCGAAATGGGGCGAATCCTATCCGCCCAAAGGAAATATAAATGATATTCTGGAAATCTTGACAAAATTTCCAGTAATTTGACACTTTAATCATTAAAATCGATCCAAAATTAAGGCGAGGGAGAGGTAACAAAATGTCGAGTTTTGGTGTTTTTTTATTGGAAATATAAAAAAACCTTAAATCATCCCATTTTTAAACGCTCACCCTCGCTTTAATTTTTGACAAAATTTCATGATTAAAGTGTCAAATTACTGGAAATTTTGTCAAGATTTCCAGAATATCATTTATATTTCCTTTGGGCGGATAGGATTCGCCCCATTTCGCATACTAATTTACATGTATTTCTTATGGCAGGAGTATTTTAATAAGATATCAATTAAATAAGTTATAACTTGTAATCTGTTGAACCAAAATAAACACATTATATACTTTTCTCGTAGAAAATTTAATCTTCTTCAATTTTATAATTTACTATAGTATACAAAAAGTTGATAGTTTTCGAGATATAATCAAAAAACCCAAAATGCGTACCTCTCCCCCCCCCTTTTTCCCCCCTCCACCCCCTGGCTCACCACCTAGGAGTCAGGACTTTTGGTATGTTAACACCCTAAGCCCCCTGAACAAGTTTCTGAAGGAATCGCTTAGTTACCTGCTCACGCACTCTACACCTACTTTTGGATCATTCATTGACTGGACTAATAGTTAGCAGCACAGCAAAGTTTTGTTTATAATTTCAGCTGATCGCCATCCCTGTCAAGGCGCCATGCCGCCCTGCCTCACTGCCGTGGTTCGTTATATAGAGCTATAGAGGTTAGGTTTGCAGGAATTTCGCTAAGTCGAGGTTCAGAACCAGCGTCGATCAATATAGGTCGGGACTTGACCTCATTAAAATACAGTACAATTAAAGTAGCATGGGCTACAATACTTTACAGTACAGTGTTTAAATTGTACAGTAGAACCTAAATTATCCGGCATAATAAAGGGGAGGGATCTTGAATATTGCGCAATCATGACAATGGCATTGACCTTGGTACAGGTTAAAAACTATAAGTTTAAAATCACAGCTTGTTCTAACCCTCCTAAAACCTAGCCAAACACTGTATTGCGTAGTCATAAATTATGTAAAGAACAAAACAAAACAGTAGAAAGTTTTGTAAGCTACTGCCCGCGATAGGCCGGTAGGCTACTTACAGTACAGTACTGATTTATCACAACAGAGGAATGTCAATAATAATCATTAACTATAGCATTGGTGTTGCTAATGCTAGTTGAAACAAATCGTATTGAAAACAATAAATTATTAGATAAGTCATTATAAAAGTGTATAATCATAGCCAACTTAAGGATAGTAAAAATACTCGTAAAAGGAATGTTAAAAAAACGTTGTTGTTATTCTTTCTCTTTGGTTTTGTTTTTATATTCTTTCTTAGGTTTTTCTTTATCAAAAAAATTGTACAATTCACCATAGTTATCCCATATCGCCCAATCATAGCTTACTAAACATTACGTCGTCATCAGTCCTCAGTGAATGAAATCAGTTCTCAATTGCAACATAGCGCGCGCAGAGACAGCAGACAAAGATGTAAAACGGAGTAGACGAATGTTAGCGCAAGCGTTGACGTGACCTTTCCATTTCATTTGATAAAGAAACAGATTTTCCCAAAACAATAATTGGGTGGGGGATTTGTTATATCGAGGGAAAGACGTAGACAATTTGTTATGCAGAGGTTAAATTCGCAATGTAGAGGTTCTGACAATGATAAATTTGTTATATTGAGGTGTCTTATTTTAGCCGAAATCACGAAAAATTCGTTAAATCAAGGTCGTTGTTATAGTTTGTTCGTTATGTAGAGGTAAAATATACATTGTGTCTTATGGAGAGTTCTAGGGGATTAAAAAAAAATCGTTATGTCAAGGAATTCGTTATATCTACCTATTCCACTTTACCCTCCATTTTTGTTTAATTTGTGAGGGATTTTTTGTTGTGGGTGAAGGGGGGGGGGAGGGGCGGCAAATTTTAGTTTGCCCCCACTC